AGCTACGCATGATGGCGTTTATTCATGTTAGTTGATGAATATCTGATGGGCAAAAGATTATCCAATATCCAATTTGTTCTTAATGAGCTTGTGTAAACCTAATGATTTCTTGGTGCATGCTTCATTTTGTTTTCCAATGGTTCTAGTTTTTTCCATTTTCAGCACGTCCAATATACGGATATGCAACAGCTCTGCCTTACCAAAGACGTGGTGCGCTACTTAATTTCCGGAGTGAATCGGACGTACCATGGCAGTTGGGCTCATCAGACTTGGAAGTCCTATTTTTCCAGAAAAACTTCCTGACAGGCCGTAAGACTCTTCAGAGGACTAAAGTAGAAAGGGAATCGAGACAGTCAGTACGTCATCTGGAATAACCCGTGAACATGTAAGACACGCTACACATACACATGTAGTGGTAGATAATCCCCCCGAATTGTTAGCCACAGCATTCACCACTGAACACTGGATCCTTACCATCATTATTTAAGTTGCCTTGCTTAGCTGAAGGCTCATGATCAAGCACACACGCCATTTGACACGCTGTCATGTTACGCTCGGTTGTTTGTGCGCGATCCATAGCAAGTTAAACAGTCATCCTCACATTACTATTTTGGTCCCAGGATATGCTTTGTATTTGAGACGATAAAATTGGTGTTTTGTTTTTTTTGGCCCATTTCGGAACGAATACTATAGAAGTTGTGGTTATTAGAGCATGTGTTAGTGTTTTTCGCAATATCCACGAATGTTCACAGCATGAGCCTGTACAAACTAAAAAGCATCTATTAGTTAGGAACAAGGCTGGCAGGGGATCACATGAGAAAAGTAGACGAATTATAGTAGTCTGGCATTTTTAATACAATTACGTTCCCCATACAGATTAAATCTTCACGGATATTCTTAAACATTTTCATTCCTTGCAATATTCAAACCTCCACGGGCCGGATGATTTGAGTTGGACATTAGGTTGAGTCTGGATAAGCGGTAGCTGAGGGTGTGCACATCCAGCTTCATAATTCGACCACTTCAGCACTTTGGACTGGTTACATTAATAGTTGTCCTGCTCCTCATTTTTTGGACTTCAGTTTAGTTTTAGGGTTGGTGGTGCAGTAACGCTGTTTTCTTCTAAACACTCATTCTGTACAACTGCTTGAAAAGTTCAGGTGTAAGTCAGTCTAGCTGCTGTGACCAAAGTAGGGAGCTGTGTTTACTTTAGTTGTCTCTCCTACTCAGTTGACGCTTGTATTCAGTATTTCTGAAGGGTTGATCCAAGTCAACCTGCGTCTCATTATGAGTTAGGTTGGTTCCTCGTATGCGATAGGGTATTCTTTGCCGCAGTGCCGTATGAATATACATTCCTTGGGAGCTATAATTTTTCAAATCTCGTTGATTTCTGGAGCACGTTTCTCAAGTTTAATTAGGTTTTCCTGAAACTTAATGATCTCATTTCTCCCGGTCACTCACCACTTTACGTTATCCATGTACAGAGGTGATGGAGGCCACATGATACTCACTAGACTGCATATACAAATGAAAAATTACAGCGAACCTGCTGTCCATGAATCACGCGTAGTAATGAGTTAATGGTTTGCGATTTGGCCAGCTTACAGGAGGATTTCATGAAACATTTAGTCAAAAGCCTTTGAAAAGACTAGCAATTGCACCTGGGCCGGGATTTCTGGTCCCAGCATGCGGCACAGTTGTTCTAAACTGCCAAAATTTGACCATATTTTGATAACACAGGACCGACCCTCATTGAACCCGAGTTACGCATCGTGCATCGTGCAGCATTCTGTTGTTACTCAAATAGTACTCCCAAATGTTTAGCATACACCTTTCATCATTCAGCATCAGGTTCTGGCCATCAGTAGCTATTAAGCTGGGTGAGTTGAATGCACATGATCAAATACCCATGCCGCCATGTTGCTGTCGGTAGTTCACGCGCGCTGTAGCCAAGCCGTCAAAACGACTTTACGTTTCTGATGCCAAAATATGCGTCGGTGGCACAGCGGTAGAATGCTTGCCCACCACGACTGTGGCCTGAAGTTCGATCTCCAGCCCATGCACTCCTTTACCTCGCTAAGCCAGTAACGAGACTGGTAAATTGGGAAGGTTAGGCATGAGGCATGAGATCACAGTCCACTAATTGTTAACCTTGCCTGGATTACTAGGTCACTAGTATTCTAGCCTGTCCCAAGCCCGGATAAAGAGGGAGGGTTGGGGCGTGGTGCTAGCAAATCCACCCCCAAAACTTAACCAAATTGCTACTGAAACTTCAACGCACAAATATATATATAAGGAAGAAAGACAGATTAAACGATGAGCGGATCACTTCAAAGGACTCTTGAACAGACCACCACCTGCAGCCCGTCCAGAAATACCAACAACAGCACGTACACAACTGCAAGTTGGCACCAATCCTCCAACGAAAGCTGAAGTCTTGAATGTAATCAAGCTTCTGAAAGCTGGAAAAGCAGCTGGACCAGATGGAATACCCCCGGAAGCACTGAAAGCGGACCCAGAAACGACAGCAGATATGCTGACTCTATTATTGCGAAAGGTCTGGAAAGAGGGAAAGGTGCCTACTGACTGGAGGAAAGGTTACCTTGTGAAACTACCAAAAAAGGGCGACCTAGGACTCTGCAAGAACTGGAGAGGAATCATGCTTCTGTCGACGCCAAGTAAAATCCTGAGTCGCATCATCCTGGAGAGAATCAAGGACGCACTGGATACAGAACTCCGACCAGAACAAGCTGGATTCAGGAAAGGCAAATCATGTTCTGACCAAATTGCAACTCTACACATCATCATCGAACAAAGCATGGAATGGCAATCAAATCTCTACCTCAACTTCATAGACTTTGAGAAGGCCTTCGACAGCGTTGACCGCGAAGTAATTTGGAAACTACTCGAGTACTACGGCGTACCCCAAATATTCATCAACCTTATTCAACAGCTGTACGACAACGGCACATGTCAAGTGATCCACAACGGAAAACTCAGAGAGGTGTTTGGAGTAAACACAGGAGTCAGACAAGGGTGCTTATTATCACCAATGATATTCCTAATTGTGGTGGACTGGATTATGCGTCAGACAGTGGGAAACGAGAAGACAGGGATATCCTGGACTGACGTGAAGAACCTAGAAGACCTGGATTTTGCGGATGATTTATGTTTGATGTCACACAAAATCGAAGACTTACAAGTGAAAGCCGACAAACTGCTCGAAGAAGCGGTCAGAGAAGACAGGACTCCAGGTGAACATAGACAAGGCGGAGGTTATGAAAATAACCAACCAACAACAACAACAGCAGCAGCAACATCCAGCGCCAATCACCATCAACGGGAGGAATTTGAAAGAGGTTACTTCATTCACTTATCTAGGGAGCATTGTGTCAACTACAGGAGGAACGGACGAGGATGTCAAATCGAGAATCGGGAAGGCGAGAAACACATTCATCAACCTGAAACCAATTTGGAAATCTTCGTCACTCAACTCAGCATCAACAACAAAATTCGGATTTTCAATACAAACGTGAAGTCAATTTTGCTTTACGGATCAGAAACTTGGCGGGTCACCAAGAATATTTTCAACAGGTTGCAGACCTTTATCAACAGCTGTCTTCGCTGGCTCTATACTGAAGATCAGATGGCCGGAAAGAATCACCAACAAGAAACTATGGGAACAAACAAAACAAGAACCAATCGCTCAGCAAATATGCAGGAGAAAGTGGAGATGGATTGGACACTCGCTGAGGAGGCCGTTGGGTGACATCGCGCGTCAGGCCAGCTCGAGTGGAACCCGAAAGGGAAGCGGCGAGTGGGACGTCCAAGGGTGACATGGAGGGGATTGTGTGAAGAGGAGCTGAAACAGTATGGACTAACATGTATGCAGGTGAAAAGTACAGCAGAAGACAGAAACAGGTGGAGACGTGTAGTTGAAGCCCTATGTTCCACTAGGAACCCAAGGGAACAATAATAATAATACTCAGGAGGATAAGTGAGTCGTTTGGATTTGAATTTAGTCTTAGTGGAAAGATACTTGGAAAGCTGGAGTGCAGATAGTTACATTCGACTTCAGCAAAACTAGCACACGGCGACGTCTATCATCTTCTACATGAGTGAGCCCGAAGATGCAACTCATCTTGTGAAGAAGTTCCGCGATGTTGCCCTTCTTTGAAGTAGTTCTGTGGCACTCAGGATTTCACCGAATCCTTCAATAATTCTGAAAAACAGCTATATTTCAAACGCTCGCAGACTGATATCTGTGCAATGACTGCCAAGCAGCCTACTTTATGGGACACAAAACGCTTTGGCACACTGTCTTGTAATTGCTGAATTAATGTAGCTAAACACTGGAGTTTTTTCGACATAGCTTAGTAAGCTCCTACATGTTCCCACTCAGGGCCATTTGTAGAGGAGTTACTCCTGTGACGTCCAAATGCGCTGTGTCAACAGGTTGTATTGTGTTATCCACATCCTAGTTGTTGAGATTTGTCACTGAAGGCTTCTACAACTTTTGTTTTTCAGGATTCCAACCTTTTTATCTCTTGCTACACATTCCTTGACTCATACACGTGCTTTGATTCGTAAGTGGGTGCAGATTTTCACACTGATTTGCAGCTTCTTGGATGGATTTAGTTAGAATACTCTCCTGTTCTATCCCCACCAACGTTAGTGGTTCGCTGAGTTCTTTAGGTTAGCTGTGCGGTACAGTCAGACTGCTACCTTAGAGGTCACCATTTGGCCTAATATCTGGCTCTTTAGATAATCCTTTCACACAAGGTACACTTTTTCTGAGTTTATGGTCGCATTAGGACCGCGGCGCTGATAGCTTTAATGCTAAGCCCTTTACATATACTCATTCAATCACTTGTCTGCTTACATTATTTTACAGATTCTGAGATTTTCATCATATGTTACAGCATAAAAGTGAAACAGTTATATCAAAGTGTTGTATGTCTTATCTTCTCTTTTATAGAAAAGATTGTTTAACTGCTCCTATTTTCTAGGTTGATGTTAACAGTGACGCTTTCTACAATTTAATATTGTCTTATTCGTAACCGGAATTATGCCTGCACAGTCTTTTGAATATAAATCATACGTTACAAGCAATGAATCGAGGCATGATCAAGACATTCACTATAAAATGTCAAAGAAGATCGCTCAGCTAACAAAAGTTGTTTGCATGCTAAATACACGAAGTGAAGACTATGTCGATCTTTTTAAACAAAATTCTAAGATTCATGAAGATGAAATTTGTGAGTTGAAGAACTCTTACAGTTCAAAAATAAGGGATTTAGAAAAGAAACTGGAAAAAGAGAGGGACAGTAGTTGTACTGTGCTTTTGTTGGAAAAGTGCATTGATGAAAAGCAGCAAAAGATCATAGAGATGGAATCTGTAAGAAATGTGAAGTCTTATAAACGTATTTTCCGGCTTGTTTCATCTTACTGCTAAAATTTTGGTTTATTTTTTAACGTTTCACAGCTTATTTCAGCAAAGTGAACGTCTTTCGAATTATTTGACTAGTGCTTATTATTTTCATACTAATAACATCACTTTACTTCTGTTTTGATTGATTTTTATTTTTTAAGCATTTCTGACGCTATGAAGGATAACTAGTATATATATTCAGTTTGATTCTTAATATTTTGGAAGATGTGATTTCAAACTGAAAAAGTTACATAAGGAGGCTGATGCTGAACTATTTCGCAACACTTGAACAGCCTCTGTCATACTGTATGTTCACTTATACCCAGTCAGTATTAATGGTAAGCTAAGCATTCTGAGTTACCGATAGAATATTCGAAGGAGGATGATATTTATACAGACTAAAGGTTGACGTTATTTTAAGGGAAAGTTGTTTGAATTTGTCTGGCAAAGGATTCTGAGAATGTTCATATTAACTTGCGAAAGTAAAGTGCAATACAGAGTTAAATCCTGGTCAAAAGGTTCTCGTTAAAGTAAAACTTAAAACATCTTAATCTTCTGAAGTTTCTTCATTACCATCCATTTAATTTATTTTAATCTTTTTGCTTTAGTCATAGTTGTATTCTTATGTTTTAAATGCTCGCTAAATATTCTCTCCCCCAGATGTTTGATATAATAATGGGGGGGGGGGGTAACTGTGCGGTGGACACACAACACATTTCTAAAATCACGCCATGGGTGACTTCTGGATCTCTGAAGCCAGTTTAACTACATATGCCTACTGAGAAGTAAAACTTTGCATTTAATAACAACCTTTCTCACTGTGACGGAGAGACCCAACACTTTAGTCTGCATTTCCCTACGGTTCTTCATTATAATAAGGGAGTTTGAATTCAGGTTGGATCCGATTTATATATCATCTGGGAACAAGTGCATCCAGCTGCCGATACTGTTTGGAAAGTCTGAAGTGGCATATACGGCAGTATAATTCTCTGAGCTTCATAGTTAGGAGAGCCTTTATTAGGCTCTGACCATCGCATAAATACGAGCTTTTAGAGAGGAAAAAATACATATCAAAATCTAGATTTCTGTCTGAGACATGCGGTTGTTGACGACTCTTCTAAAAAGCACACCTTTTCGGTAACCATAGTGGTGACCAGTAGTAGCTGCTGAACTTTGTCTCATGAAATAATGAGTCATATGTCAATGAATTAGCAATACAGCAGAATATTGTAACCAGTACAAAAAGTACCCTCCAGTGCAAATTGCTCTCTCCTTATTATTTATTGGTGCGTTGGTGGCACAGTGGTTGAATGCTTGCCAAGCACGCAGGTAGCTCGGGATTCGACCTCCAGCCGATGTGCTCCTTTAACTCGTTAAGCCAGTAATAAGTCTGGTAAAAAGGGAAGGCTGAGCATGAGGCTAGCAGCCCCAGCCCGTAAAAATAAATACCACTGTTACCAAAACTTCGAAGCTCTAGCTTGAAGTCTTATGTTCCACTGGGATCGTAAGGGAATAAGAAAATTATTTACTGATAAACTTAACCTGTTATTCCATGTCTTTATGTCAGAATTACTTTTCAGAGTCACTGTTCTAGTGTCTTAGGAATACATCATTTAAACTGATTTGTAATTGTGTCATAAGTTGAGATGATAAAATAAGCAAAGACTGCTACATGAAGACGTTTTCATCCATTCGTTAGCTTCTATGGGAATAAAGGCTTCATAATCTTTCCTTTTTGTCTCCGACAGTTGTGAAAGCACGTGATATTAGCCGCGATATCACTGCTGTTGCAAGAAATTCGACTGTATCACTAGTCGAAGTTTTGAAATTCTGTCTAAGGTTTTACTATAATGTTTATATACAACACCGACAAGTACGTTCTTTCATTGATTGCACAAGATATTTGTATAGTTTAAGTAGGTTAATTAAGAATAGCCACTTGTAAGACCACGACTCCTTCTAACTGTCTAATACGATGTAAGACAATTCAGTGGATGATCTTCTCTAGTTACCCGACAACTATACTTGTAGCTGCTAATGTTAATTTGTGGATGTACCGCACCCAGCAAAACCGGTGGTGATAAAGTTTTCTAGATAACTGTAAGTAATGGGACAAAAATTTTGACTTGTTCTTACTAAATATGATGTATAAATAGACATACATATATTACATGCGATATGACATCTATAAATAAAATAGCAATAAATGTATGAATCAAACTGAATGATTTTTACCTGATCGCAGTCAGAAAGTAGCGTTAGAATAGTACTATTGATTTCAGTTATTGTTTTGATGCCGAATAATTACTGAAAGTAGCGTTAAGCAGTCCTAACAGACTACCTGTCTAATAACTTTTGAATTTGTGATTGAAACTTTAAAAGAATCCCCATGTTCCAATATTCACATCTAAACCCTTCAGGATAAGTGGAAAATCAAATGCACTTGCCCGTTCGTCTAAGTAGGGCGAATTATACGTTTAAAGAAAATTGTGCATGAGGTAACTCCATGATATTCCTTTCGGAATTTTCTATTTTTTCGTCGATCAACAATCAGTATGAAATGATCACGTTACATAAGTCCAGTGGTTTTTTCCTCGTCATATTTGTGCAGCACAGATTTTCACTAAGTGAGACAAGACTACAAGCGATACCTAACAACATAAAACTGAATGGTAGAAAATGATATTTTCTGATGAATATGAGGAGAGGGAATAAAAGTCAGGCATTTCATCAGTAGTGTTTGCATAAGTGAGGTTAACTGTGTAAAGTAGGTCAAAAGTACTCTTTCTCAGAAATGCTCTGCATCTGAACTTTTTATGCATCAATCAATAATAACTCACTGTAGGGAGTTTTCTGTGTTCTTAAAATAATTTATTCAGTTTAATTTAAATAAGCTTTATTAAAATTCCTTGGGGTGAGACGAAGACCAAGCTTGCTGTCCTTATGAATACTGTCCAATTCGAAGTCAGTATATAAGCGCACAAAATGGGGACGGGTTACGCCAAGATTTTGCCTAGCCTTTTAGTAGGTGTAACTAATAGTTCGCAAGGAATTTCCAAGGAGATACTTGAATAAACTCACTACCATACAGGAGCACATGACTTAAAGTTTGTTACCTTTTTAAGATTGGTTGGATAAGTAATAATAACTCAGACGTCAACTTGAGGCTAAAGACAAACTGCAGATTTCGTGCAGTCAAAATAACCGTACACAATTTGTCAATTTTATGCCTCTAACTGTTTTTTACATATCACACCTTAGCCGTTTACTTCATATACTTTGCAATTACACTTCTTGACAGAAGCTGTTTCTGTCATCTAATAATCTGAAACTCAAAAGTTTTAGTTTTTTAACATTCGAGACATCATCAGGAATGAAGACTGGGCTAAATTCACTGAGGTTATGCGCAGTAATCACCAATCGAGGTTATTTCTAGGAAACGAGCGCCTTTCCTTCACAAAAATGAAGCCTCTTTCAAATGCCTGTGCCACTGGCGTCATTAAAAAAATAGTTACTTTGTCATTCATTCATGGAAGTTTCTTGGTATTCTCAAAGCAAGAACTACAGAGGCTGCTCAATAGCACGCTTTTTACTTTATGGGTTCAAAATTGCTGATTTCACATGAGTCATCTGTGATTATTCACAATAAAGTCTGTTGTTTTATATTCTTTCGGATGTAGGGCCTATTTACACCCCTTAGATTTAGTTATTTTACCTTTCTTTAGTTTTAATAGTTACTGGGACTCGATTTTTCGCGATATAAATACGTAAATTAACGCCTGCCAGTATCTTCTATGTTTCTAGTTAATCCAAGTCCATGAATTTATAACAGAACTCGATTTCTAGTACGACTGACTGATCGTAATAGTGCGTTCCGGATATTAAAGGTCCGAATCTACTACAGTGCCCATTATAAGTTTCTGGTCTTTGTCACAGCCATCCTTTGTTGCATGTTTGATATTTGAGTGCATCGAATTTTATAATCACTGAATACTGTCTCCTCTTACCCAGCTTTCTATAACTCTTAAGGTTCTCAAAAGTTTTGCTGATTTCCACTTCTTTTTTGTCGAAGCTTCATTTTACTTCTGTTCACTTTTGTTTGCTCTCTCTAAATGTGGCTATTTGAAGTCATAAACTTTCATACAGGGCTGTGCAGTATGTTACACATGGAGTTTTTGCAGATTTTAATTGAAAGTTTTCAAGTTTCATTTGATTAGCAAGTTTTTATATTATGTGCACAAAATATACAGACTTCAGAGGTAGCGTGGAAAATTCATTGCTTTTTCAAAATGCACACTTTCCTGTTTAAATTTATATTTCAGTTTAATGATAAGTCATGTTTTCTTAAATTAATCCTGTACAAACGCTGAAACATCTTGCCTACTACCACCTGTAATTTGACGACAAAGCTATATGAATAATAACTGCCACTAACCAGTCATGGATCTTTGTCACTCAACTGTTTTCGTTGTTAAGTATGATTGAATCAGAGTGAAATCAATGGCTGATATTTAAAAAGAACTACCAGTGTTTAATAGACGTTCCTGTGATTATTAATGTTGTGTAAAAGCAGTTTAGCTAGCCACTGATATCAGGGAAGTTTCAGTCCTCCTTTGTTTTGCTGATTTTCATACATGTAAGTCTGTTTGTGAATACGCATCTTATAGGGTGATGCATGCATGACGGCATAATAACTTGAGAGATTTAATAAAATCAATGATCAACATTTTTAAGCTTTCATTTATTTGCTTCCATCTCACAGGAATATGATAAACTCATAAACGAATATCAGTTAAAAGAAGAAATGATGAAAATGAAGCACAATGCAGAGATAATCAACCTTCAGCAAACTTTGGTTGAATATAAAGAAAAATATGATAAGGAATTGAGTGAAGTTCAACAATTTGCTGAACAGTGGAAATCTCATCAATGTCCAAACATTGAACGGATTTCAAGTGAAAAATTACAACTTGAGGCTAAGTTAAAAAATTTGGAAGAGAAATATTCATTGTTAGAAGTGGATAAAGAATGTGAGTGTACTCAATAACTGTTCATACTGACTGAGCCAAACAGTATTCATAAAAGAGTAAAGTGAAAGCAAACAAACTATAACTGAAGTGAAATGATACATAATCTTATTTGGTCTAATAGCACTGTCTTTAAAAATTAAGAATATAGACGACAGGGAAATCGTTTAATTTTTTAATTTTTGTTAATTTTACAGTGTAATTTAATTCGTCATTTTTACTTCAAGCTGATGGACTTTACCAGTTGAGAGGTTACAAAAATATCAGTTATTTTTGCAATTAATAGTGTTCTCTGAGCTGGTTGGTTTAGTTGTGGAGCTTTCGTAGTCGACTATTAATTGCAAATCATCCACCTGAGCTACAAATCTTCTCTATTATCATTAATTTTTTTGTCTGAATGTGAAATTAAGCCTTTTTGAGTTATGATTTGTGTATCATAATTGGTGTTTCTGTCTAACAGTTTTCCACATAGTCTTCTTATACCATATAACACTTTGTGTTAGCTAAACATTAAGTTTCGAGGAATGTTGTTTTAAATTTAACTAAATTTTAATTTTCTCATCATCGGCTCTACACTAATTTATACTTTTGTACATTGAAATTTCACCAATCAAGTGGTTATTTTAGTTAATCAGTTTTAGGTATAGGGGAGGTGAAATTAAGAGGTTAAAAGTCATCAAAACAATTAACTAATAGATGTTAGTAACAAGATATGTAAGTTTTGAAGCAGAGGTGAGAATCAGTTATGTAGTTCGGGATAAGCTAACTCTTAGGCGTTAGCATCAAGTTATTACGTAGCCAGGAAGTATTACCTAACCAGAATTTACAAAACCTCAGCTAATAATCAGGAACTCGGTCATAATTCCTCAGTGTAAGGTAATTTTACGTTGTCAGGCTGAAGAACTCTGATTAAGTTATTGTACATAAGCAGAGACTTTTTATATTCTGATAAAGTATTATTGTGATGGAGCAACCATCCTAAAATAGAGAAATGCCAGTAGAAATATGGTTTTATTTTTCATTTATTGAGAATATGATTTTTATAATGATGAATATCATACACTCATGGATTCTAACTTTACATGATTTTAACACCCTATAAAAATCAACATTTACCTTCTTCTTCTTATTTTTACCGTGATAACACGCTTTTATATTTCCTTTGTGTACCCTAACGGATTTTATGCCATCATATTCCCACAACTGTGGGACCTTCTAATTATCTGTGGTTACTGTGTAACGGCAGAACACAAGAGTGGACGGTTGATGTATACCATATATTAAAATCGTCATTTGTACAGATCTTCCGCGTTGTGCTCTTTCTACTCTTCGTAATGTGTTTCTTTGTCTTCTTTTCGTGTCTACCATGTTTCACCACAATACTGGTTCATTTGCGCTCTTTGACGTCAAATCCATCAGTGCTCTCTTTGATATTTTTGTGCCAATGAACTTCTCCTTATATACTACTGATAAATCTTGCAAGCAGCATACGCCACAACTGTGTTTATGCTTTTCAGGTGTATGCTGAGTGATCTAATGTATACAATGGCTAACTGGTAAACACACTTCCCTAAAACATTAAGACATAGGATTACTAGTGAACTAGAATTCTGAGGAGCCTAACAACGTGTCTCACACATTCAGCTTATGTAATCATTCCTGTAAACTATCTACCTGAGGAATCCTACTAAAGCCACTCTCTCTCTCTCTCTATATATATATATTTTCAAGTATTGGTTTGGTAGGGATTTTGTTTAATTGCATGGAGGATTTCATCATGAGCTGACATCAGTTAGAGAACCACTGGAAAACCTGGGAGTACTGGACAGCTGTTTCGCCCTGGTTTGGGACTCTTCAGCAGTACGCGCCCACCGGGATTCGAACCCAGGACCTTCTGGTTACAAGGCGAGCTTGTAGACCATTGAGCCACTGGTGGGCGCGTACTGCTGAAGAGTCCCAAACTAGGACGAAACAGCTGTCCAGTACTCCCAGGTTTTCCAGTGGTTCTCTAACTGATGTCAGCTCATGATAAAATCTTCCATGCAATATATATATATATAATTGAATTTCTTCACTCTGAAGTTTGTGATATTTAAGGAGTTCAAGGAGTATGGCGATAACATTGTGCATTAGAATACCATAGTCACTTATGTTTTTTCTATTAATTTATTATAAATATGTAACTTTCTCCCAGTTTTTTATTTCTCATTGATTGACACTCAATTTATTTAAAGAATAAATAAACAAATAACTTAATTTTATTGTTATTTTCACTATTTGTTAATTTCTTCAAATTAGTTATCAGATCTCAAAATGTGGTCAACTCAACACTATAAATTGCATCAAAATTTTGACAGTGATAAGCTATGCAGTGTCTACCAGCTGTACTACATCAGCCTATTAACTTAGCTAGTTTTATCCATTCCTTCCAGCTTGTAATATATACCTACTATATGTGTTAATTATCACCAATGGCGGTTGTTAGATGTCATTTTTCCACTTTCGACCTGAAAAGTCTTCTAGTAAGTAACAAATGTGGATGGTGTATTCAACTTAGGCTATCCTCAGGTTATTTGTTCAGCATTTCATATAGGTCTACTCCGTCTTCAGTTGGTTAGTAACATTGATTAGGTGATGCAAACTGATTTCGAATGAATGGATGATACAGTAAAGTATTTTGTTTACACTGAAGTATTACGTAATATTTCGTGTTCATTTTAAATCATATATATATATATATTAAGGCCATATCTTTTTAAAACAAATGTTTTATTCTGTTACAGGTACAATAAAAGACCTTATAGATTCATATGAATGTAAAATTCAAGAAACTATAAAATTCATAAAAGATGAAGAAGCAAAAAAAGAGAATGAACTTCTGACGATTAATAAAAATCTTTTAAATGATTTAAAAACTCAGCAACATATCTATGAACAGTCAGTAATCAGAAATAATGAAGAAAAAGATGAATTGGTTAACAGTGTTAAGAGTATTACAGAGAAAAACTTAACTAATTACTGGCAAAATATGTTAAATCAAGAAAGAGATGAATTTCAGACAGAATTATCTAAACTACATAAATCCAATGAAGAAATAAAATATAATCTAGAAAATCAAATCCAAAGTTTGAAGTCGCAATACGATCAAGTAAATTTTGTTTTAGTTTGAATATGTGTGTCTGTAAGTGTACGTGCGAATGTGCTCATTCAGATGCTTATAATATTTTATAGCTTCGACAATAAACTTCTGGTGTACTAAATTTCAGGTAGGTTTTAAAACAAACCGTCAAAAAGTATATCTGATGAGCTATTAATCAATGTTATTCTAACATGCTTGTTTGACAGCAGTTTCGTCTTTCTGGTCTATTCATGAACTTTTGCACGATGATTAGTGTTTTTCATTTCAGGTATTTTTCAATTGTGAAAATATGTTTCTAAAAAATTAACACTATGTGTTCTATATCACATCATTGTTATGATACCATGAGAGTCGCATCTACAGCATTTTGTTATTCCTCATCTAAATGTCAGTTTCCCCTAACTCGCTGAGGTGAATATTTCAAGAAACCTTGGAGAATACTTTTAGAAGATTGTTTGTTACAGCTACCATGGAAAAATAAAACTGACACGATAGTCTATTTTTGCCTGGATTCAGACCTTAATTTCATATTGTCGATTCATTGAAGCTCCAGAAGTTTACACCTGTCATTATTTATACCTCTGTTTGTGGAAAAAAACTGCCCAAATGTGTAGTTTTTGTTTGAGTTAACAAGTTTCCCCCATGTCTTTCTTCCTCTCTTCAGCTTAAATCGGAATTTACAAATTACCAAACCAAATCAAAATCAGATTGTGAGAAACTCCGTAGGAAAATCGGTGACTTACAAATCATTGAGGAGAATTTAAAAAGAGAATTGAACACAAAAGATGAAAAGCTGATTAACTTAGAAAAATCGGTAAACAGATGTTTTGGTTTTGAGATTTATTCATTCATTATTTTGTTTCTATTCAATCTCTTGAGCAAGGTTATTAAGTTTATTTAGTTAAAGGTAAATTTGGAGTGATAATATTACTAATTTATTCAGAAAGAATTAAAACAAAGTGTAAGATCAGTGTTGAATTAGTGAGGAGATAAAAGAAACTTTTAGTTTTGCCACTACATTTGATAATTTAACGATCAGTAGGTACAATGCCTTTAAAATTCTATATTTTTAACTTTTCGACTAACTTTACAGTTTTCTTACGTATATTCCAATTAAACTCTATCAATTGAGCGGGAATATAATGTTGTTATGAAATGACCTAGGGAAGCAGCTAGTGTGTTAATCATAAAGAAACACTTAAACACCAACCATTCATATGAAACCGAGTAAACTTTTGATGCATAAAGGAAGCTGCATCTTACTACTTTGTCTGTTGACTTCCAGACTAGTAATTTGATCACTTGTTTGTGTCTTATCTTAACCGAGATTGTTACTTTGATCTGAATAATCATATTGCCAATGGCTTAATGGTCTACGAGCTCGCCTTGTAACCAGAGGATCCCGGGTTCGAACCCCGGTGTGCGTACTATGAATAGTCCCAAAATAGGATGAAACAGCTGTCCAGTACTCCCTGCAGGTTTTCCAATGGTTCTCTAACCAATGTCAGCTCATGATGAAATCCTGTAACCAATCAAATCCCTACAAACCAACACTTGAAAAAGTACTTTATTTGGAGGTGACAAAGTGAAATTACTATATCAGAGTAGAAGATTGTTTTTTGACGGCATAAGTGTCAAATGCCGAACATTTCGGAAGAAAATGTGGTATCATTGAATAGTAATTACAGGACAGAGAGATTCATTATTTATATGTTGTTGTAAAATTATATTTATGAGTCTTGTAACTCACACACCAAAACTACAATTAAAAGTGACATTACTAAAAAACTTCTTATACATTGTGTTATGACAAATCAAAAATATGAACGAAGACCATATAGAGGCAGGCAAAGTTTTATCATAAACTATGAGTAATTTATGGCTAAATGTACATTTAGGTTTGTCGTAACAGCAGTTCCTCAAGCTTATAATAAAAAATAGTATATATCTTTACTAACCCATAATTTAATATTTATTTATACCATTGCCTCGCATATTCCTACAATTATTAAAAATCCCTCAGCATATCTCCTTTAGTTTATTATCAGTTGATGAAACCTATTGTGGAGTTTCACTTTACTATCATCATCAAATACAGTTCCTTCAATCTTGAATCCCTATTTTTCTCATTCTCTTCTGAAACTATATCCAAGGCACTGAAATGATTTTATCCCAGGTCAATAATTGGTTTATTCTAAACCATCAGTGACTGAAAAGAAAGTGTCACCAAATGACATCGTTTGGAGGACTATTGAAAACCAGGGAGCACTGGACAGCTGTCTCTTCCTAATTCGATAATAAGCAGTAGCGAATATCCACGACCAAATCAGGGATTAAACCCAGGACCGTCAAGCTACGAGGCGAGGTCACTGACAGTTCAGCTGCTACGTTGAAATCTAATGAAAAACCAACACTTGAAGAGGATCAGTTTGAATCTACGAACCTTTGTCGTCCTCCAATAATGACGCTTTTTTCATGGAAGTACCTGGAATTACCGATGATCTATTACATCTCCTAAAAGACCTGGTGACAGAATACTTTGCGAAAATTTCATGTACATTTTGATTATAAAAGAATAAATTCTACAGTTTTTCACACTTGGACATTTTAAAGCATTTGTGTCAATGAGTATTCTAGTAAAAACCTACAAAAATATTGTAGTTTTAATCAAAGTATTAATCTGTCATTCAGTATTTCTTGTGATAAACTATGATAAATCCATACAGATTACTCAATAAGAAGTATAGGAGATTAACTTAAAACATTAAAAACAGATGATGCCACTGGCACAAAATGCATAAACGTAACTGTTACTTTTCCGTAGGCGTTTTTCTGAGCTAAACTCCGTTAGTTACAAGGTTAGCAAAAGGGAAATGAAAAGAATTATTTCCTTCTCAGTCTTTTAATATGGTGTTCAATGGAGGGTGAAGTAAGCAACTGAACCACTTTACTGCATTGAATTATACGCACTTGTATTAAAACTAAGTTTATAGTTTGACTACTTAATTAATAGAAAGTAACATGGTTTCAAGGTTGAAATTTCTAACCTATATTGTAGTAAAAAAACTTTCAAAGCAGTGCTCTCAATGATGGCATAAAGATAGTTTCTAAAGTATTTAGATCCAATCCAGAAGTATGTTGTAAATATAGAGATGATATACTTACAATTTTAGAGACAGAAGATGTACACAGATTTCTATAAAAATATAGATTCAGTGGAAGGAGAAACGCGATTTGTTTAAACAGTCATCGATGAGAGCTACTCATGCTGAATTTTGAGATTAAAAGGCGAAAGGGTATATTAACTTCAAGTGATCTTTTTTTTTTCCTTCACGTTCCCCAGTGGAACATAGGGCTTCAAGCTAGTGGCTTGAAGTTTCTGTGGCAGTGTTTATTTTACAGGATGGGGTTGCTAGCCTCATGCCCAACCTTTCCTCTTCACCAGAATTATTTCTGGCTTAACGAGGTAAAGGAGTGCGTCGGCCGTGGATCGAACCTCGGACCATGTGCATGGTCGGCGAGCGTCCTAATCGCTATGCCACCGACGCCAAAGTGATCTTACTCTAGGCCAGTTTAGACATGTTTCATGAGATGTTAAATTAATAGAGTGAAGCAGGTGATCAGCATAATATAGTATCTATAACAAGTAGCAAGACATGAGAAAGCCTTATTATTCAGTAACTACTTAAAAAATTCATGAGGGAAACTTTAAAAATTCTAGAAATTTCACACGTATCTGTGATTTTTAACTTTGATTCACTCAAAGTATTTTGATAAAGGAAGACATGCTTTCTTTGACTGAAACCTAAAACGATCAAAGCGTTTCTTCTGAAATACTGGAAACAACCACACAAATCCATCACAATTCCTCCTTTTACTACCTAACTACACCACATTTATAGACTTGAATTCACAGCGAAGACGTGTAGCACAGATGGATGGTTCTGATTTAGCCGTGTTCTCTGAGCGATTCTTTGCAAGTAAACCAAACAGCTCACAGAACACAGCCGTACCAAAAAGATTTCTAAACTATAACCTTTTGAAAGAATAAAAGCTTAGTTCTAAACTATTTGAAAAATTAGCTTAAAACCGAAAAATGTAAATAGTTCGAACTCTAACGGTTATATATTATTCCTGGAGTGTTTGAAATAGTACGAATTCATGACCTCTAAACTGAAAAGGTTACTAGTTCGCTGTATTAATACAATTCTCTTTCATCAAAAAATATAATTCTCTGGAATTCAGAAAACTTCGGAGGACTACTTTTATCTTAAAAGGTAAGAGTTCGTGGATACTTCTGACTGAAACTAAATGAAATGTTTAATCTCTTATTGAAAATAATGACTCATATTAAAATAAAAGTCACTCAGGATGAACTTCTAACTATGTCTAACAAAAAATGTAAATTCATATGCCAGGAGCATTTCATTAGATTAACAAAATTAATACTCTAGTTATTCTTTCAGCCATACTCTCGAAGTATATCCGATATGAGTTAGGACACAAAAGATTAAAATTAGAGTCCTTCCATAAATATAACATGACTTGGGGGAGATTCCCAGATTAGTACTGGGATGTACGAGTTGTTAAATTTTGTAATTCTGAAAATAGTGGATTCTTTAGCCACTATATTATCATAATTATCATTAGATTCCAGTTTGCCTTCATTTTGATTTTATTACGTGCAATTACAATGAATAAATAACAGATAAACTTCAATTGCGGTTGAAATTTTATTGATGTAAATAAAATTTTATCTCTGTTCCATTACAGGAGAATGCTAAATATTTTCAGCTGAGAAAAGAATGCGATGAATTGTTGGAAAAGATAAAAACAACTGAAGAACAACTAGAATTGAAAAATGGTAACAGAATCAGCTAATTTTTGACTGAGAAAAAATTGATGGGCATTCTTAGTTTATAATTTTGAGCTAATTAACTTTAGTGACTCTGGATACACTCCATTATCCTCTCTCTTCCCTAAGAGTAAAATAGAAGGAATGTCAAGAATCAGATTCCAGTTTGTGTTGGAAACACGGGTGAATATCTTCAAACGTCTGGGCGCTGACATATTTTCGACTAACGGCAAAAGACATTGTGTCATATCATTCAAAGACATCAAAAAATGTATCAAAATTCTATTCACTCATACTCTTATTAGGCTTACCAGTATACGTTATATTCTTAGCCCACATTTTATTATTGAGTAAACTGATAAGCATAAGTTGTTTTCAAGTCAAATGAACAGTTCAGCGATAAAAATTTGTCTTATAAGCCAAAACATTGACGGCCTTGACTCAAATCGTAGTAACCAGTTTTCTCCACACAGATAGTTGTGGTTTGACTGTTGAAACTTCACAGTTATTGAGATAATCATTTAGTCTGCCCTTTTTCACTTGTATGCTTGAATATGCTATGGTGGTACAAATCTGAACCTCATGCTACCAGTATTACTTTAGTTTCATTACTTTCTGAGATAAAATATGTTTGTGCAAAGCTGGCAACATCACTCTAAGACTCATCTTCAATGGGGCTTCAGGAGGAAGTAGACTCATGATTACTTGTAAAACATTTCTCCTCAGCTAACCAGATTTACTCTCTTTTTCTTGGCTATTGTACTCTTGTAGGTTTCACTTTTTATCTCTAAGTATTGTAATGATTTCTAGCTGCACAGTTTTATTCTCACTATTAAGATGCCGTTGCCATTCATATCAAAGTCATGTTGAATAGTCTCAAACGAAATACTGAGGGTAGGTCATACATGTTTGGGAAATGGGACCCTCGGGGTTTCAGTTCATTGTAGATATTGTTGTCAACCCATTTCTCCTTTAGAAGATCTCTCAGTACGTTTGTGATGCGTTTTTCATTCGATTACGTAATCTTTGGCTTCAACCTCACCCCTTTGATATAGTGTAATTTTGCTTGTCTCTTGTTTCTATGATTTGATTTGAACTCAGTACGTCGTTACCTAATTTATAAGTCACTCCTCATCTTACGCATCTCTCGTCTCTATTACGTAACTCCTTTGTCGTTGTATGCACACATTTACTTTGTTTAAACTTGAACTCCCTGTGTAAAAACTAATATAAGCGTAATTTTCTGAGTACTGTTCACTAATTCCGGAACCTCTTGTAAACTGACATCATGTAAAATTTGCAAGTATGTTAACACTCTTCTGTACATAAACTTAATATTTTTTTGGTTTAAGCAGACATTTTTCGAGCAAGTATTTCTCCACCCGTCTTGTTAAGATACATTGTGTCTACAGACCTTCTTTGCTCTGCATAGTCGTTTTCCACTGCAGTTAATTCCGTTGCGTTCGTATAGTGTCAACACATGAGCAATTGAATTGTAGTTGTTGTTGTGCAGAACCTGATTTGTTTGTTGACTTGCAATAAACTTGCATTTGTATTCTTGTGTCCTCCGTTCACTTGACTAATATACAAAAGAATACCAAATTCTTTTCTGGTTCCACCTACATTTGCCAACCTACCAGCTTGGTGTGCTAAGATAATGGAAAAATTAACTATTAAGTAGACAAATATTAATTGTGTGAGAGTTATTTATCAAATTTAGGTGCTTTCCTTATCCATGATTAGTGAAAATATTGCCGGCTGAAATAAATAAGCAAGGTTTGTATCAGCCTTGACTTTATATAACTGGTAGGCTCCTATGAAAAATAAAATGGCAGTGTAGTTCACTGTCTTCATGTAACAAAGTTAACCTTTTAATTTTTTTTCACGCTCTGATTGTAAATATAAGATAGTAGTGCATGATAACATCTACTGTAACATCAGATCTTGCCACGCTACCATATTACGAATGCTTATAATGTGTGAATATACATCTAAAATTAACTAAAAGGTTTATATTGAATAACTAATTAGAAATATTCATTTTATAGCTATTTTCATCCTTCGTAAATCCCATGACAATCATATTTTCTTATCATTACCTACTCTCCTTCTAACAGTTTAGGCACATGTATTTAGAAAAACTTTTGTTATCATTATAGTTCAGCGGCAATACCTGTCTTAAAAACAGACGTCACGCCTCCAATAAATTCAGTTAATCCAAAAGTGTCATACACGCTTTTATGCTGATATATACATTAAATATTTAAGAAGTTCTAAAACTGAGGAACTGTCTGAAATACTAAATTTCTTTGTCATGATGCAATAAATGTTTTGACCGTTACTTTTCTTCGAGTTAATCTAATTCAACATGGAAATGTCGTTAAACTGTAAGCAATTTAATCGCGCTAAGTTAGAAATCAGTGTAATCCATTTAATCAGAGAATTATACTTTGTCTGTGATAGGAATCGACTTAAAACAGTAACCATCGTATGATTCATCGTGTGATTCGGATGACTGTAAAATTTCATCATCTTTTTCTTACTTTGGTGTTGGTCAACTATCCAAACAATCAGAATATTTGTTTTTCGCCGACCTATCCGAATCGCCTATCAATCAGAACAATCTATTTTCACTGCCCTAGGCTGATTCTAATCTGGTTAAAAAACTATAAATATAACTTGCTTTTTCCTAATAAAATCGTATCCTAACAGTCTCAGGTCAGTCTTTGTCTTCTGATATTTACGTGGCTCAGTGAAGCAGAAGGTACCACGGACGAATAGGCGTATTCAGCATATCAGTTGAGTTGTCTATTGCGTCAGTGTTATTATACCTATACATAAGTCCACTTGGTCAAATCAACTGTCAAGCATAGATCATAAAAGTCCGTCTTTTTCACTATCAGTAGACACGCTTTGTACTGGTGACTTCTAATACTGTTGTTAAGTTATTCATATCCATTTGGAAAAAAGCTAGAAATCTAAGGTTCACATTTACAGCTATAAATCTACAAAGCGTCTCTATCAAATGAATGAAATTCCTTCATATTTAAGTCATAAAAATTTACAACTTATCAAAGAACTCTGAAAGTTAGTAATAATTTTCTCTGGTATGAGATTAGAAACATATCTGGTGACCGGAATAACACTTCTATCCTGCTGAATGAGTAATGGAAAATGTTTCACACTAATGAAAGGAAAGCTGAAACTGTTTAATGAATAGACTTTGACTCATGACACCGAGTGAAGCATTTTGTTAGTATTTATTTACTAAATAAGTAAATTGATTTCTACACACTGTCAGATTAAATGATTATTGGATGCGTTATTACTATTATTCCCTTGGGTTCCAAGTGGAATTTTGTCTTGTTCTCTGCAATCCTCTTTAGTTGGCTCCACGACTGTTCATAGGCTCTCATCTCCTCTTCAAACTCCCAGTCGTCGTTTACTATTCGAATCCTACTAGAGGGTCTGGCGCACGATGTCACCCAGAGGTCTCCTCGATGTGTTATTAGTACTTGAATATATTTACTAACTCTGTAGAACATGGGATTAAATTTGCTTTGAGCCATTAAATAAAGAGGGAAGATTAGTTGAAGAGTAAACAATAAATGCGATATCTGATAGTTTAGTCAAAAATCCAATTGACAGTGAAAGAGAATAACGAATCAGGAGTAAAACATATAGTAAAAATTCTGAGGAAAACAGTTGCAGGAATATCTGTAGGAGATAAAAGTTTGAATGTATTATTTTAGGTGGTTGTCATCTGATTTGCACACCATAAACACTTCTCGTAATCCCTTACAAACATTTTACCAAGAACGAACTGTCTGATAGTGCTGAAAAGTGTTTCAGTATGAAATTTGGTGGAGCCATTACCTTAGAACTAAAAGAGTTTCATTCTGAGAAAAATCACAATTATGTATGCAGTTTTTCAAAAATGTTCAGCCCATTCTACCTATTTTTGCTTGAAATGGATTCCTTAATATATTATTTATTTTTGAATAACATTTTACCAGAAATACAGTTGAATAAGCAGAAAGTGATCTTAGCCTCCAAATATGAAGACATGCGATCGAAACTGAAAGAAACACAAAAATTATTGAAAACCTCTCAAAATGAAGTACAGTCATTAAAAAACCAACTTTCTCTACAAGAATCAAACCTAATCAACCTTAAAGAAACGTTCACATCAAAATTAAAAGTATGCTACATTTAATAATTACTTGTAAAGCGTTTTAAATGTTGTTTTTTGCTGAGTAATGCTACCATAAGATAGGTAAAATGAGTAGCTGTAAGATTGATCTTAATATTTTATCATCTTTGATTAGTATTCCCGTGTGAAATACGGAATGAATATGAGTTTCAGATCCCTATTTTCTGATGCCTGATATTTTTAACCGCATGTTAGTACAGTTGTTTGATTATTTTCTGGAAGTTTCAGTCCAGATTATTAACTGAAACATGAGGTAGAAATGGTAAGACACTTGACAGTCTATTCAACTCTGAGTAAAATCAAATTTTGTGAAGTGTTGATCCGGTCAAACTGTAGTATTTTATCTCCTTTATATTATCATTACTATTTGAACCGAGCTCAGAACAAAGTCATCTCACCATCCTATTAACAATTGTATTTGTGTTTTAGTCGTGAAGTTAACATTTGTGTTTATTCCATATTTTATTTTTTGAAGAATGCAAGACAACTAAGTGTTGGTTATCTATCAGATATCGAGGAAATAAAAAGAGAATTATTACACATCAATAAACTTATAAGACAAGAAATGAAAACAAAATATGAATGTTATTATCAGTGTTTATTAGCGCAGAAAACTGCAGATTTACGCAAGACATTATACACCGAAATTGAGCAGAAAGTGAATAAGGTGAGACATAATAAACTGGTTTTATCGCTATGTTATAATAATTCATGAAACTGTCTCTTGTGGTAGTATAAAGAATTCATTAGAAGACGAATTTTTGGTAATTCCAGTTTCCATAGTTTTGAGAGCGTTGGAAAATTTTGATTTTATTAGAAAAGAGGTTAGCTGTCATATATGTGCATCAATTTGGAATATGATGCAACTGGTTTGTCAGATAAGAATTTCAATATTGTGGTGCACAGTAATTCTACAGTGGATGTGTACGATGGATAAATTATCACTTATTACATAGTTTTCAGCTAATGATTTCGATAGTACCACCCTGCCAAATTACCTGGCATGAAAAAAAGATGGTTCTTGGTCTTCCCTAGAAATGTCTTCATGGAAGTTCACCCTCATAGTACTCGTCAAATAGGTACTGTTTACTGATTTCTCTTCATAAAAGTGAGGAGGCTAATCCGAAGTCACTGTGACTAATACTGGATTAGTGGTTACGAATAGTTCACCGAGAAATGTTAGAAAACGTTGATGTCGAACCAGTGATACGCATGGAATGAAGGATCTATTAGAAACAAGCAACTTAAGAGCTTTGTTACCTACAGTTAACTTGAGAATTCAGCTGTGTTGTCTTACGGATTGAGCTTTAAGCCAGAGGATTAAGAAGTATCACTTTAAGGGAATTATCTGCATCAGCTTAGATTTCCATGGAGTACCTGAGGTCCTTTAGAAACTGTAGGATTCATCAACACTCATTTAGGTTTCGTTCTGTCTTGATATATCCAAAATTAAAAATCACTTGGATTTTGCCTTCAACCTAATGTCTTAGATCGTTTTTTCTCTGAGCAAATTTATATGCTGTGATGGTAGTTCTTGTGGACAATAAACCTAGTAGTCTTTTGAAAAATTTCTCAATGCGAACTAATACTTACTTAAATTACAAGCGTTCCATATGCGGGAAAAATTCCGAATACTATTCTTTGAATTCGAAGGACGAAGAAATCAGCTGTTAAGTTACATGCGCACAGAGAAACTTGCAGTTTACAGAGATTTCCGAGATCATTATGTAACTCGAAGCATGATATAACAGATTTAGAATTGTCACACTAACCAACAAAGGTTTTCGATATTACATTGACGTCTTTATTTACCAACACATAGTTAAGGTTGGTTCAATGTTAGTTCATTTACTGCAGAATGGTTCAGAAGGTAGTTTATCTTTTCATGCTTAGTCCATATATTCTTATTCTGAGGCGTTTTGGTTTTAATTGTGAAAGCAAGACCTTAATTTTAAAGTATTAAGTACAATCATCAGAACACAGTAAATAAGTAAAACAGCACACAACTTAATTCATAATAGAGTAAAATTATTTGATAAAAGCACAGTACAGTGATACAGTACTATTTACTGGTTACGTTTCTAGCACACTTTGTTGCTCGTAATCATATTAAGGCATTCACAGAACTTTCAAACTTCGTTGATATAATTCCATTATCTCTTATCTTTTGATTTTATTGGTAGTAATATTTTCCGTATCTCTGGTATTGTCGTTCCATCATTCCTGTTGTACGAGTTAGGTGTAGATTCTATAAACAATGGTTCACTGATCAACCTCTCCCTCCTCCTCCCTATATTACTTTTTAGAACTATAGCTCTGTCCCACCCTGTTGTATGATTGTGTTAATGCATGCACTGCGACTGCTGAGTTTTTCTCTAAGCTATTCATTTTCTCGGGGTCAGTCATTCTCCACTTAGCTAAATTGTTATATCTCGACAGACTAACTGACCCCAACCTGATGATCTGACTTATTTAATTGACATCACAGTGACTGCAAGGTATTTTTAGGTGGGTAGGGGTATTAGGTTTCTTTAGACTAAAGTGGTTGTTCCTGAGTTAGTTTATAGGCTTGAATACCACCATAATTCTCGCTGTATTAGAAATCCTACGTAGAGTTTCAAATGTCGCTTCTTTACATGGTAGGACTGAGGATGCCTTAAATTCCCTCCTGTGTATGTTATGGTGAATGGTTCTACTACTATTCTTCCTTTTTTGTGAGTTTATGCGGTCTTCCTAATGAATTTCATAGCATAAGTGTTTAGCAACAACGCTTCTTTTCTCTGTTTCATTTTACTTTTTAGGTTTTCTGTAATAGTGCTTAGAATTATCCTTCTGTTTGTTAGACACTTAACTAAGCCTGCCTTTTATAGATTATAGATGAGATAAATTGAAATATCTATTAGAGTGCATTGGCTTCTTATGAACGTTAGTGCATAGTTTACCTTTTTTTTGTTCGTTTTATTTTGCCGTGTAACACAGTGGCTGAGTTCTACTCATACTATGAGTTTGTTGAATATATGAGTGATATTTAATTTAGACATTGTAACTCAATGTTTGATGTCTCAGTAGTATGAGACACATGTTATACGAGGGCGTAGAGTAAGGTTATTCCTCTTATTCATTGTTCGGTGAAAGAATTTACTACTATTAGGTTTTGAGAAATTGCTTGTGAAGATGAAAGAGCTATTTTCATAGAATCTATCAAAATTGATATCACTTACAGAACTGATGTGACTGTGTGAATTAAGACGTAAGTACGACGCCAAATTCAACAAAGCACCTTAAGTGAACGATAGATAGGTCTATTGTCCCTTAGAATTCTTTGATTCAACCAGCTGTGAAAATATTAGATAACAGAGGCCTGCTTATTGTTGTAAGTACGATTTTATTAGACAAAAGTGTATCATATACATAAATTTTCCTCATATAAAATTATGCCAAGTTAGTGATGAAACAACCTGTTCTGACTGACTGTACGAAGTTCAAAATTATCCGGTCAAACTGTCCTGCCCATATAAAACAACATCTATTTTTTGAAGACGAAACGTCTTATTATGGTGACGACTGACTTTAGGTGCTGATTTCAATTTCAACAGCTCTGTATCAAGAACAACCGAAAGTAAGAGTCACTGGACAGGTGTTTTGTTCCAGTATGTGGTAATGCAGATCTGCACTCACGGGGCTGTGTGGCTGTGTAGAGTAAAAGTTACCACTGTCCTACTGGGGTAAGAAGTAATGCTCCATAATTTTCAGCCTCACTCTCTTTATGGTGACTTAGTTTTGTCAGTGAATATCAGTTCTTCATTCCTACTACATATGTGCTCTTTTCACTCGATGAATAAAGCTTCAGTTATTTGTCATTCATGTTATCCTTGTTACTATTATTACTTTGATTTCCTATGTGCTTCTTGATTAATTTATCAGGGTTATTATAAAGTGCCAAAGCTTCTTTTGCATGGCTTACTTCTTGGCGTATACTTTGTCACTACTTAGTTGCTTTGCGCAAATTTGGAGCGTGCTACTGACAAGATTTATAAGTAGTATACATATGCAGATATAAATATGTACATGATCTGCAATAATATCGAACAGCACAGAGATGGATTTAATGAACGATACTTGTAAAAAAGCATAGAAAACATGAAAGGAAGAGAAAGAAGCTCAATACGGAAAACAAAGCAACACATTACTGAAGATATGTGCAAATTGTGATTCTAATATGTGGTGGAAGTATTCTGCCTATATCTGGGTATTGTTCCCTTGGGTTCCTAGTGGAACATAGGGCTTCAACTGCACGTCTCCACTTGCTTCTGTCTTCTGCTGTACTTTTCACCTACACACATGTTAGTCCATACTGTTTCAACTCCTCTTCACACGATCTCCTCCATGTCACCCTTGGACGTCCCACTCGCCGCTTCCCTTTCGGGTTCCACTCGAGCGTTGGCCTGACGCGCGATGTCACCCAGCGGCCTCCTCAGCGAGTGTCCAATCCATCTCCACTTTCTCCTGCATATTTGTTGAGCGATTGGTTCTTGTTTTGTTTGTTCCCATAGTTTCTTGTTGGTGATTCTTTCCGGCCATCTGATCTTCAGTATAGAGCGAAGACAGTTGTTGATAAAGGTCTGCAACCTGTTGGAAATATTCTTTGTGACCCGCCAAGTTTCTGATCCATATAGAAGAACTGACTGACTTGACGTTTGTATTGAAAATCCGAATTTTGTTGTTGAGTGTGGCTGAGTGACGAAGATTTCCAGATTGGTTTCAGGTTGATGAATGTGTTTCTCGCCTTCCCGATTCTCGATTTGACATCCTCGTCCGTTCCTCCTGTAGTTGAGACAATGCTCCCTAGATAAGTGAATGAAGTAGCCTCTTTCAAATCCCTCCCGTTGATGGTGATTGGCGCTGGATGTTGCTGCTGCTGTTGTTGTTGTTGGTTGGTTGTTTTCATAACCTCCGTCTTGTCTATGTTCACCTGCAGTCCTGTCTTCACCGGCTGCTTCTTCGACCAGTTTGTCGGTTTTCGCTTGTAAGTCTTTGATTTTGTGTGACATCAAACATAAATCATCCACACGCGAAATCCAGGTCTTCTAGGTTCTTCATGTCGGTCCAGGATATCCCTGTCTTCTCGTTTCCCACTGTCTGACGCATAATCCAGTCCACCACAATTAGGAATATCATTGGTGATAATAAGCACCCTTGTCTGACTCGTGTGTTTACTCCAAACGCTTCGCTGAGTTTTCCGTTGTGGATTACTTGACAGTGCCGTTGTCGTACATATTGAGTTGCCAATAAACAATTCGATAACCAAATTATCTCATGTTTTTCCGTTACACTGTCACTTAGAGATTTAGCTAACCTTATATTCATTGACATAAAAAGATGGATAACACCATCTAGAATAAGAAATTTAAAACATCAGTGGTGCTGTGATACAAAGAGGGAACATCTGAAACCCTACGTAGGATTCTTACAAAGGTGGGGATAAACGCGGCTTTCAGACCCACGAACTCAGTTGGATAGGGGATTCCGTGAAGTCCATTAGACAAAATGAATAAGTTTATCCGATATCCTGCAAAGACTATGAGGTCAAATACATAGGCACAGTGGCAGACCACGTCCAACTAGACTAACGGAACTCAAAACCTAGCGAAATCTAGATTAGATGACTCCAGTAAACTAAAGAATTTAGAAAAATGTTCAGCTTTGGTATTATACGCAGTTGCATACAGCCATACACTTAGACATCTCAAAGTGACAGTATTAAAATCCATTGTAATAGGGTAGAGGGGGAGTTGATAAGTGTTTTTTTATAGAATCAAATAAGAACATGGATAACAGGAGTTACACAACACCTATCCGTAACATCTAGAAAATTCTAATACCCTTACAACAAATAGAAAAGAAGAATGAAATCCATAAAGATCATGTACTGAACTTGTGTATTTAAAGTTGATATGATTACAGACAGTAAATTCTGTTCGAAATGTCATCCAGTAAATAATATCGTCCCACTGTATGGGATTACAAACAAGGTAATTCATACTTTCAGACAAAAAACAATATACACCTCTGGTTAAGTTATTATTATTGTTTCCTTTAATTCCTAGAGGAACATAGGGCTTCAGCCGTGCGTCTCCATTGCGTTCGGTTCTCTGCTAGAGTCTTCACCTGGCTCCATGTCTGCCCACACGCTTTCATCTCCTCTTCACATGACCTCCTCCAAGTCACCCTTGCACTGACGACCAACTCGCCGCTTCCCTTTCGGGTTCCACTCGACCGATGGCTTGTCTAGTGATGTCACTTGATGGTTTCCTCAGAGTATGGCCGATCCATCTCCATTTCTTCTTGCATATTTCTTTCACAATCGGTTCCTGCTGTGTTGGTTCGCTCCCAGAGATCCCTGTTGCTGATCTTTCCTGGCCGGCCATCTGATCTTGAGTATTGAGCGAAGACAGCTGTTAATGAAGGTCTGTAGTTTATTTGATACGCTCTTTATGACGCGCAGTGCAAATCTCTGATCCGTATAGTAGCGCTGACTTCACATTGGCTAAGCCTGACAATGAAATTAAAGTGGGTATGAAACATGACTGTTTTTGTGCATTTAACCATATTGTGTTATCTTAACATTAAAAGTGTGTAGGAGGACTGCTAAACTTTTAGGTGGCATATTCAAACAGAAAATCATTCAAAGTAAAAATCTTGTCACGTAGTGATTAATTATAGGTGGCGAAAAATCAAAACCTTTATTATCCGGACATACTCACTTAGTTTTCTTAAATCTTCATCGTATGATTATATTTAAAAAATGAAGTTTATAAATTTGCTAGATTCAAAATGAAATTTATGCAGTTCATCATTGCTGAATAATTCACTTGAAATTTGATTTCTTACTCAACGGATAATTTTGAAACGAAATAAATTTCAGTATCCATTTTCATTGGAAATATATCATAGAAATAAGTGGGTCACATAATCAACATTTGTATAGGATGCCAACAGTAACATGAAAATATAATCAGTTGAATCATCTTATTTAGATTCTCAAGAAAAGATGAAAAGAACTGAAAAACCTATTATACTTAAAGAATGGAAGTACAGTGGATAAAGAGATCTAGAATTAAGTGATTCACCGTTCCCGATAATAGTCAGAGCTAAACACTTTAACGGTATGAGAAGAATTCACATATTTTTCTTTGACAGGTAAACTGATAGACATTTGTAGTCTAATTACATCAGAAATCACTTTACACAGGGATCCAATTTTGTTCAATTTTAAGTTTTATTATGCATCTGTAATCCATTTACCGATCTACATAAACTGTTCAAAAGTTTTAATAAATTATCGTGTGTGTAATCCATGCAAGAGCATGATGCATTATGTTTAAAAAATCTAATCAATCTTTATGCTAACTTCCTGTTCCAATGTAATTTGTATAGTATAATATCTTCTCGAAAGCTTATAAGTTTATTCGAGAAGAGTAAGCGAATCCCATGGATGGTTCAGTTAGCTGTTTCATATCACATATGTTACTTATAATATTTGAAGAAACAAATAATTTATCAAGTCTTATTTAGTTTTATGAGTCATTTTCAAATATTTGGACTTGCAGTTACTTTTAATTTCTACTCAGAAGTGAAAGAGCCCAATAATAATTCATTCAAGCTAGAAGTAAAATGGGAACAAAATAACTAGACAAACTGAAAACCAATTCCTTACATACAACAATATAAAATGTTAAATTTACCAATACATTAAGCGTTTATAATTTCACCTCATTGCTCTTTATGGTTCGTTTAGGTAGGTTTCTATTTGAGTTTTTCACACTCTGACAACAGTTTATTCCTTTTTATAAAGAAACTGCAGAACAGAGAAATGTGTACTGCTAACTGATAATATTAAGTTTCTCATTATTGTTACAATGTGATAAACACGCAATCCCATCTGTTTGATTTATTCACATTGTGTTGCAATGCCTTATTCAGTGTATCAATATGCATTATATAAGCATGCATGTAACTATGAATAAAATTAAGTACATGGAGTAAAAATGTTGGTGAATTAAATACCTCCATCTTTGACAATCATCAGTGCTTGTTTGTATCAGGAAATCAGTGTTTCCAGTATATCTAACTGAGATCATTTTATATACTTATCATTCTCTGTTTTCATTGCTTTTTAGGATAAGGAAATATCAATTAAAAGTGCTACATCAGTTAAACAAAATGAAATTGATCATTTACAACAAGTGAACAATGAATTAAAATTAAAACTAACCAGACAGTATAAGGAGTATGAAAATGAAGTAAGTTGGCATAGCTAAACGTTCAATAATTACTGTCTAGATAGTTAGACATACAAAGCAATAAAAGAAAGCAGACTTGCTCGACCGAAGAGTAAACTTCATGAAATTTTAATGAGAATTTCTGATTTTCAGTCTTAAAGAAATACTGGTATTTGAATATGACTTAAGAGATTAATTAATTCAGCTAAACTGAGCAGAATCATGAATCGTTAGATTCTATGGGCATTAATTACTAAATATAAGCCGAATTTCTGAAAGTCAGCTGTATACATCTCAGATCGATAGTCTCAAATCTTATCCCGGTGGACTCAAATGTCTTTTAGCAAAATATTTGACATAAATATTTAGTTTAGGATTAATATCAGTCATAAAAGTGATTATCTTTTCACTTACGAAAACTTCTCGATAAGGTAACTTTAAGTTCATTTTAGATGTGTGTTAGTTGTTAGTTTAAGTGAGAAAACGAGTAGTGTTAGAGGAAGATATGATATGAATTCACCTCATTTTATGATAAGAAAGCATTCAGTGACGAATGAATTTTAAATATTTTAAATACATGACTGTGTAAAATATGTTTTTATTTACTGTTATTAATACAGCAACTAATTCTCATCTTAAACGAAGTAAAACTATAAATCTGTCAAATAATAAAGTACGCAATGAAACAGCCAGAAGATGAACCATTCTTGTGCATGTAGAATAGTTCATGACTCACAGAATTAGTCGCATTCTACAGACTGAGTGATTATTCTCTACTTCATAATGGACACAATGCTAACTTTCTAAAGGAAACTTAAGTGACCTACAGAATGATTTCATATTGCCAAAACACCACCTAAGTAGAAATTTGAAAGAAATCATCATGGATGCTCCCTTCAACAAGACTTTCATTTTCATTCCAAAATCTAATAAAAGTTTTATTGGTAATGGAAAATAGGCAGTGAGGTCTTTAAAAACAATTAACACGATATTATATTTTGCCTTCTATTCATTAATTTGTTTTGATCAGATACAATCTCACAGGAGTTCCAGCCAAAATGGTTGTTGATGCGGCCTTTTGAAATTTTTTAATATTTGTTTCTAGCTTCATCTGTAAAGTAACGCAATCTTCTACCTATTGACAAAGTTTCGCTAACCCTGCGGGTTGACCGTTAAAACAGGGGCAATATGGGCTTATTCATAAAATTGTCAGGTTTACCTCAATCAGGCAGGATGAGAGCTTAGGTGAGGAAAGAATAAGATAAAAGCATACTAGGCGTTTGGATGTTTATTAACAATAGCAATCGACCCGACTAACGATGGATGTTTAAGAAGTAGGATAATACGGAAATCGAAACAGAAGTGAAGTGTCTGGTGTTTCTAAATAGTTTACTACTACAGTGCTTAGGCGTAAAGGCTAATTTCCATGGATTAAAGTGGTGACTGCGTTACACTAGGAGGGCTGGGTGCCTGGCTAAATTGCTAAGATTTCAATGAGCAATGAATGCATCATTATTTACATTTCCATTATAGTATAGTCTGATAATAGTTGTTGCTTAGGGACATCTAAAGAGATACGAAGATCTGCAAAGAAATGTATACCTACATTAACAATATATACATAGGTATACAACTACCAGGAGCCAAGAGGGACATAACTTTGGACCAGTTACTTCAAATAACTTTCATATTTTGCATACTGTCCTGTTGATTTCATTATTTTGTGTTGTTTAATTAACGCAAACCTACGAAGTGACCATTGCTGACCTATGTTTTCTTTGAAAAGACGAGGAAATATTAACATAACGAAGTGGCTTTCCGAGTTAGAGCAATTAGTGATGTATTTACCTTTCCTTGGGAACGTTCAGATACTGTAGTTTATAGTGATGAGTCCTGAAGAAGATAAGTGGCATATATATACACTGATATGATCATGAGCAATAAATTTTGCTAGAAACATGATTTGCTTTATAATAATTTATCACTCTGTCCATAATCAAGCAATTACATTGCATCTAAATAAGTAATGCCACTAAAAACAATCCTTTCTCCCTGTTAGGATTTCACTATGCATTCGTCACCTAACATAAATGATATGTGTTTCTTAAATCACCTTTCATAAAATCAATCCCATTCAAGCTTAGTATGACAACCTGTGAATATCCCTACAACTAGACAGTTAAAGTTTTCGGACTGAGAGTGGAAAACATGTAGAAAGGCTATCAGGATACATTGGAAAAGACGTGTCCACATTTTACTTCACTAATAATACTGCTATATATTCGAATGACTTAGTAGCTTATCTTGACCCGTTTCTATGTTTCCATAGAAATGGAAGGCTTACGTATAACACATTTTACTAATCCATTCGGAACACGTAAATTATTAACGAACGAGAATTTTACACTTGTAGTTTAGTGTCTTAACAGCATAGCTTACACAGTCAGCCAAATCATGCAAATTAATTCCATTGCGAATGTTTATAAACTCATTTTGAATTACGCTTCATGTGGCAATACGAAATTACCATTACAATGTTTGGCTTTCTTGTGTGATTCTGAGGTTAGGTTCCAGTTAGTTAGTGCTAAGTGAGGAAACTGCTTCTACATTCATTTCGAAAACAGAACACTTATCAATTTTAATAATATGTTTGAGGAAAGAAAAGAATCATCTGTCAACATGCTGACTTGCTTCATCTGCCAAAACTGGAATTCAGGCAGCTTCTCATGTTATGTACCAAAGATATACAATTCTAGCTCGGCAACAAAATGTATCACCAGGTTGATGTAGTGGCGATGGGGAGTCCATTGGATCTTGTATTAGCTGATATTTCTACGGCCAATCAAGAACAGACTAAACTCAAGTGTGCAATTGATGAAACAACAGCCTACTACAAATACGTAGATGACACATTCATCGTATGCAATCATTTGAGTCAATCTTCTTCTCTATTGGGCCTATTCAACAATGTAAATAAGAGTATCACTTTCACGATGGAACACGAATACGCTATATTCACTTCCTAGATATAAGCTTGGAGAGAAAATCGGATGGGACACTCGTGAGATCGATATATCGTAAAGACACATGGAGCAGTCTCTACTTAAACTTTAACAGCTTCTGCCCAGACAGTTACAAACGAACGCTGGTGAAAACGCTTTTCTCCAGAGCAAAGAGAATATGTTCACCTGATAAATCAGACAGTAAACTAATGCTACTTGAAAACTGTTTGAATGAAAATGGTTATCCACAAAGTTTCATTGACAAATATGGTAAGAATGAACGTAAGAAACCTGATGAACCTAGGGTCAGCAAGAAGCCAGTTTTCATTAAACTCGACTTCAAAGGCGATCATAATATGAGAATCATAAATAAAAGATTAAGCGAAGCCCTGTCCAGGATGTTTCCTGCAGCAAAACTAGTCTGTCTACTCCAAACATCTTCCTCGTTGGTGCAGTCAAATATCGACAAGTACCCCTCATATGTTACCCCCAACTGTACATACCAATTCACATGTATCTGCGGGAGCAGTGAAACTGGAAGAACAGAAGGAATGGACTACGTCAGATTCTTTGAACATGTACCAAGGAGCATCCCGTTAAAGGGGCCAAATAGTTTAAACTCTTTAATTACCAAACACCTGATAGATACTAGACACCGAGTAGTAGCGCTGGCATCATTCAAAATACTTAACAGACAAAACAGTTCAAGTCTTCTTTGGTTTGCTGACGCTGTCGCAATAAAATGGCTGAAACCTGAACTATGTGTCCAAAAGGAAATTTTTGGACTCCAGTTACCCTGGTGACTCACCCTTTAATAACCCTTGGTCTTCTAAATTCATTAACTTATCTTTTCAAGCCCTCCTCCCAATCGCCTCGTTTCTTCCGTTTGACTTACATAAGAGATAATTTTTTTTGACCTTATGAGTTCTACTCACCACGTTACATCATCACCTTTTCATCTGACCTCCTGCACACCAAATTTTCATCTTCTCTTATCTATGTAATTATTAATAATTTTTTGTTACTACCCTAACAACAGACTTGTCAATTAATTTTCTAGAAACTTCTCTCTAACAAGATATATATATATATATTTAAACGTTAGCTTCCTTGTCGTCCTGATGTTTACCTCACCATAACACTCTTGTAAGATGCTTGTTGATGACAAGAGTATGTTAAATTTTACACTGACTTTTATTTACTGAAGATTTTAGGTTGAATGCAGCTAATGAGAACCGACTAAATAGAATGGATCCATGTTATTCTGCACCAGTATTTGTTCTTTCTTCGCTGAAATTTATAAAAGGGAATTATTGTATGAAATAAATATTGTGTTATAATAATACTTTAAAATAAAATATCTTCATACTAATGAGAATGGTAGACACCTACGGAGAAACAACAACAAGCACTTAAGTTCAAAGTGAATGCTGTTAGTGTTTGTAACACATCTCATAGTCAAACAATCAACAGTTACTAGTCGTGCAAATTACTTTGAAGAATATGATAAATTGAGAATCCATCATCACGTAACAGTTCTCAAAATGCTCACTGGTTGTTGCTGTTGTCGCTATTATTACTGAGTGGTGTTAGATTCCGAATCAAGCATTATCTCCATCTATAATGTGACCCCATTTACCATTCCGAAACGATATCATATTACTTGTTCCATTCATTTCCCAGCAGGAGGCAACAGGATCGTTTTTCAAAGTAGATTTTATCACGAATTGTCATTGGTTGAAAGAAAAACAATTATGCATGGATTTCTCATCTTTGTCTGTGGAGTTCACCAGATGAAATGTTCTGATTCAATAACCGAGTATTCCTCAGTTCTAGTCCTCAATAGTCAATGAAATAGTAAGGCAGTTTAATGAATTCGGTTGCAAAGAATAACGTGTAATCACCAGAACTGAACGCGTTGTGGTGCCAGTCATCGATGAAAGAATAGAGATTAAGAGAATGGAAGCGAATATAACTGCTTGTCTTTCAAAGTGACACATGAGTTATTCAAACACTCATTTACAGACGTCAAGGAGCAAACAAAAATAAGGCAATACTGATATTAGAATTCACATGAAATTGTAAGGGAAGTGAGAATGAAGGGGAGATCCTTTGTGATACCTTGTTATGTTGACATTAGGCGAAAATGTGGTCAGTGTTGACTACTTGTATGTGCTGCCTCAAACTTGTGTTCTCTCACTAACAGTAAATCATGTGCTTACACTTTTTCGCTTAGCGATGTTCTCAGTTAATGTAATGCTTAATTCTCTAGAGTTTGTTATTTTCTCATGCTAGAAGTAACTTCTACGGTAAACTGGACGGCGTTTTGGTAAACATAAGAAGAAGTCAACATTTCATTCGGTTATGAACCTATACAACAGCTTAATAATTTTTCCCGTCGCTAAAAATGTATGCACATTCAAAGAATCATTATCATTATCCATGTAAAAATGGAATTTGTTTCTTCAATGCTTATTATTACCATAGGTTACAAAGACTAAACGTCAGGCGGAAGAAGCACTTAATAAAGAAAGGAGTAAGTCTGAAGAGCTTCAAATCGCTTACAAGGAAAACGAGCAAAAGTTGATCAAAGAAGTGGTACTCAGGGAAAGTCTAGAAAAGCAGCTTGTAAAGTCATCGGCTGAAATCGAACAATTAAAAAATAATTATGAAGTTCTGTCGAAACAAGCTAAGGTATGGTATTTGTTTTGCTTTTGTTATCTCACTCTGTACATGAATTACGTATAAAGTAATCCTTATATCCATTAATTACAAAAAGTTAAATCACCAGTGTATGCACTGATTATGTTTAAACTACCATTTGAAGTAATGTCACCAAACGTTTTTGAGTGTATGTTTTTGAAACTTGGTCTGATTTTATTGTTGCAAATACAAGGAGATATAAAGTCACCCAGGTAAATAATCAGTGAATATTGAAAAGCAATACTCCGGTTTCACCTGAGATTAAGAAAGTCAGGTGAAAATGTTTAAAATCTTTTTGGAGATTTGCAAGTTTGGAAAAGAGTGGAAACTTTGAACTGCTAGTAAGTCTCACTAAAAAGCTGAAGTAACAAAAATCCATCGAAAGGTGACAACTTAAAAGAACGGTTTATAACTCTGACCATAAACCAAGTAAAATTACAAGCTAATAACATGTGTAAATGAATGAAAGGATACAATGAGATACTGTTTGGGGATGGGTACAGCAAAGACCAGTGGTATCCATCGGGGGTCCTAAAAGCTTTTGTTTCACAATGTTTTCTGAATATTAACTATTCGCTTTCAGTGGTTCTGAAATAAATTCTATGAGTAGGAATGAACTGAAACTATTATCCTAGAATCATGGAGTGTAGGCAGGATATTTTATATTCTACTTGCTAAAATGAGTATTTGCAAACCACTTTCTAGTTCAACTAGTTCTAAATTCAAAATAGTCATGCTAACGAGGAGTATAAATTGGTGATTTAAAGAGCGATACCAGCTGGACTCGCACGATATCTGGAAGTTAATTTTTCTTTAATTATTACTAGAAGCCATGCAAACTGAGAAGAAAGTTTCTGGATATAAGATTCAGTGAGAATACCATTGTTGACTCGGATACGTGCAATTCCTGCTGATCGGTTCTAAATGGAATGAAACGCGCCTTTCGGATTTCACTGATTGCTACCACACATCAAACAACATGATGTTTCTAAGTAGTATGAATTGTCATGAATTTCTTATGTTCTGCAGAAAATCTAAACCCGTAAGAAAAGCCAGAATGGATTGTTATTTTCATCTCAATTTCGCCGTTGAATATCCAACAGGGAAATAGTTTTTTCTTGTGGAAAATATGTCGTAAATTTTTCAGCCTTCAGACACTTAAAATTAACAAAAGATTTCAGCAAGTTAAAACTGTCTATGTGACGGTTTCACTCCCAAAACTGTATATTTATATGTTAGGATAAATAGAGTAGTAGTGTTAATAATCCAGTGACCCATAGTTTGAATCCTAACTTGACTCAGGTAAAATATGCATATGAATTAGTGTAAAGCGTAATTAAAATAAAGATTGATTGTTTTGTAAACCATATGTTTATTTTGATATATTAGAAAGAAGTGGACTTAGCAAAATTATACCCTGAGTAAAGTTTATAATGTGCATTGTTAAAGCTTTTGTAACACCATGCAAACGTTGTCACACACCTACTGGCAAGTCTGTCCTGACTTTGTTAATACATTTTAAAGATAAGTTGGAAGTCACGTGATTATAATGTATTATATTTTACAAAAATTTCGAAATCAGTAATCTACACATTCTTAATCATACAGTCAAGTCAGCAGGTATTTTTAAACGTATGGAGCAGCGTCTCTTAACGAATGTCCTATATACCTCGTCACACAACATAAACAGTGAGAAAACCCATATGATATAAATTGAAAAGGCAGATCAGCAAAGAATATTCTTTTCATATCTTCACTTCAAAGCTGTGCATATATAAAGTGTTGTAAAAGGTTAGGGAATTGTCTACATCAGTGTAACAAAATATAGGAATCTGAATATAAGGAAAATAGTAAATTACGTAGTCTAAAAACAGTATGTGGTGAGCATCGCTCAGAAATGATTATCATTAAAAACTAAAAGCGCTTGGAAACAGGAACACTGTTCAAGAAAGTAAGAGATTCAGAAAAGTCATAAAGTATATTCTGAAGTGAGAAGTTCCAAAGGAAAGAATAAGAAGAAAACAAAAGCCGATTGAATATTATACGAGTTAAAGAAAGAAAGGAAAGTTTAGGGATTTGGTAAACCCTGTTCTGTATACATAGTTCAGGGATTTCCTTGTGCACAGCAAGCGTTTGTGCTATGGACTTTGAAAGAATTTTGTACTGATGTGTAATGATTCGAAAGAACAAGGTGCTCAAGAAACAAACAATTGGTTGGCTTAATTTCTCCTTTCGGCAATTATATTGGGAAGTATTCTTGCGCGCATCTAGACAGTATCCTACTGTTACGGCCTATGTATTTAAATGAATATCGAAAAGGATAGTCAGAATGACAGTCTCTTAACAACAGGAGGCTTCAGTGAAAATCCATCATGGGTTATTGTTAGAACAGCAGCATTTAGCTTTATTTTTATTGATCTTATGAAAATGATCTAAGTAATTTATTGAGAATATCACGCTTTAATTAAAAATTTGTGAAACTTTTTATTTTCCACATCCTTGGGCAGGTCTAAATTTAGTCTCACTTGCTTATCGTTACTCTAAAGAAACAGTGGACGATAACCTTTCTCTATAAGTTTTCGTTTTGGATATTCTAGTTCCACAACGTCATTGTCTTCACCATAGAGAAAATCAAATCATTTTATTATCTATAGATCAAAATTGTGGAAATTAGTTAGTTGCTTAGTTCACGCAGACTTCTACCTGTTAGATCTCTGGATTTAGTCTTCCTTTAGAAGCATATGTAGTATTTTATGCAGATAACTTTGTCAGTTTTTACTAACTCCACGGGAGCATATCTTGCTCTAATTTCTTTAAGTCGACTGAAATGTTCTTTCCTTAGTTGGCATTTTTTTTCCTTCACGTTCCCCAGTGGAACATAGAGCTTCAAGCTAGTGGCTTGAAGTTTCTTTAGCAGTGTTTATTTTACAGGATGGGGTTGCTAGCCTCATGCCCAACCTTTCCTCTTCACCAGCATTATTTTGGCTTAACGAGGTGAAGGAGTGCATCGGCAGGGGATCGAACCCCGGACTATGTGCATGGTCGGCGAGCGTCCTAACCGCTATGCCACCGACGCCCCTTAGTTAGTATAACTGTTTGAAATGAATAACATCCCACTGTGATTGATCTGAGTAAGTATTACCCAGAAAGTAGGGAAAAACACCCCTGCTTGCACATAAAAATTGTGTCTTAGTATCCTATTTATAGGAGATACAGCTTATTAGCTCATTTGAGTTTCAGCCATTGGTTGCCGGGTTCGAATTCTGTTTCACCTGCTTCAACCCCCGTCTGTTTTAGGTGAATATCAGAAAATTGAGTATTACAATGAGGTAATGTCAAGTAAGGATTGCATTTTCTACTAAGCAACTCTTCACTATCATAACTTAGGGTCATACTTTTTTTCTTGTTAGTTGTTATTTTAGTAAGTTGAGAAGTATCTGAATAAGTGACTGTTCAAAAGTCATCTTGCTATTTGAACAATAGGCAATATTGAGGTTAGTGGTAGTAAATCTTAATCAGAAAACAATTCGGATATCCCTTCTATATCCAGCTAATATCTGAACACGCGAACTGTCAGAAGAAAATGACTATTTGAGAGAGAAAAAAATTCTTTGACAAATGAACCGCGGATAATTTATTATATTCTTGTTAAAGATAACTAAATAAAGATAAAGTGAATTAATAAAGGATAGGAGAGGAAGAGGAAGAAGGAAAAATGAAGAGGGAACGTAAATAGATTGTATCAGCTTTATATTGACTAATAGTTACAGTGATATACATTTAAAACCTTTTTATATCTTGTTAAAACATTCCATTTTGGTTAATATATATTAAAATAGCAGAGTGTGAGAATAATTCTGAGAAACAGGTGCAGTAACCACTTGCATAACCCCAATTACTAAATTCATTATTATCTGCTGACCTTAAGTTATTTGCTCCTTAACTAGTTTACTGTGAGAAATCAGCAAGATACATTTGATAAGGAAGAAAGAAAGTCGAAACAAACTGTGGTTGATAATAATTATCCAAACAATTTCATTAGGAGATATAATGTAGTCAGAACACCAAGACCCACTCTCCAACTCGCCGCTAATAAAGACGTATACATCAAGCTAACCTTTATGGGTGATCATAGCAGCTTGGTAACTCGATAGAGATTGAACACAGCAGTTAAAAAGATTTTACGCAGCTAAGATCATAATAATTGATAATGTGAAGCCAATATATCCATCAAAGCCCTTTGAACATGCGAATGATGTCACATCCCACTGTATTTACCAATTTAAATGTACATGTGGCCACATATACATAGGGAAGACTCATCGATCTCTGCAAGTAAGGACTTCAGAGCACATTCCTAAATGGCTTCAAAAGGAAACAGAATCTCCAGAACCCATTAATGATGAGAACAGATGACCTAGCTCCTCTATTGCAAAACAAATTATAGAGACAAGACATAAAACTGATGTTTAAGAGTCTTTTACCCTATCTATAAAACATGTTTGGGGCGTATTCTAAAGTTTGTGGAAGCCCTAGCAATTAGGAAGTTTAAACCACCGTTTCGCTTCAAAAACAATTCGTCATCACAATAAGCCTTCCTTAGTAAACTCTGTTTTGATACTAGGATGGATGTACTATTACCTGTGTTATTTGGTTTAGCGATCTTCATTGCTATTTTGACCTTCAATGTCTCCTTTTAATTTGACCTAAATTTATTTTCTCACCTCTTAACTCTTTATTAGTTTCATATATACTTCTATGACAAGTCTGTGTGTGATCAGATTGTTCGAAATGTGTTGCGCAAATACATTAGACGATTCAGACAAATTACATCTTCTTATTGCTTTGTCTAAATTCATAAAGGGAACTAACTGTTTAAATTTTATAAGTAGTAAATCAACCCAATGCAATCGATTTCATCTTGATGTGATTCTGTATACTTGATACATGCAGTTATTACAATCATACTACAGATTTGTCGTGATCAGAATAGCCTAATATCAGAGTTACTGACTTCAACATACATCGTGCTGGTCGATGGAAGAGCATGAGTTCAGTTGATGATGAAGATTCATCTAGTTAATCTGTACAAACATGTATGAAACTAAGGTTTAAGGCTTCCAGTTGGTCAACTTTAAACTCTAAGTAACTAGGTAGATTTAGGTTTAGTCTGGCTACAAGACTTCTGTAACGAACTCAAATTTCCATCAGACCTGTATGATACTAAATAAACCATTTCGCACCAAAGTTTCTGTCCTTGATAGTCATTGCTTGAATTTACTGTGATTTCTTTTAAAAGTGAGTAGTGATTTATTGAAATAAAGATTTTCAGAAGTGTCAGGCATAAAAATGAGCGATAAAAATACAGAAATAGTATAACCTTTAGTGAAAAATTAGGTGTGTAGTATTCAGGATTTTATGCTGGAGAGAAGTCTATCCCTGAAATCCAGTCAAACATGCTATTAGGGTGTTGTTCAGCCAGTTTATCGATTGGCTTTACTAACTCATTTACTGAGTGTTCTAGTCGAAAGCTTCAGACAAGAAAGTCTATTTTATCTCAGTTGTTGAGTACCTGTCAGTATCTGACCCATATGTCAACCTGTCTTGTGACTAGGTCTTCGGTGATCACGTTACACTCAGTAGTTTATAACCTAAACTGTACTAGAGCTTGAAGGGATTGTGCCATATATGATCCCCCAGGTATCTAAGATAAGACTTTTTCAAAATCAGCAACTGAACAATTTGAAAAGTGGAATGGATTTCAGGCAACTGATCAGAAATGACAGTCTTAAAAGTGCATTGAGTTTATTTCTAGTTTCCGAAATTCTTCAGCTGTTTTTTCAAAATATTCGTAGGCGTGACTGATATATCTGTGAGCTTAAAATTGTTTGTTATCGATGGTTCTGGTTTATCACCTAGGTAATATTACAAAACGTCATCAGTAACTTAGAAATGCCCTTTTATCCTTCTTAAAATAACTATGTTACTACCCAGTTAATTATTATTTGAAGGAATAGTTAGTTGTTAAAAATTAAACTGATAGTAATTATATAATGGCCAAGTTAATTGACACGAGGATGACGCTGTAAACTGACTTAAATCTGTGGTGCAGTTATTGGCTTAACTGAAATACTGTTGTATGATATACCTGATTGTATTTAGAGGCAAGAAACAATGGGTCAATGTTAGGTAACTGTAAATGCTGAATCGCTGATTTATATAGTTTGGTTAATACTAACAGCTACATTAACAAACTGCTTATTCTTTGACCAAGTGAGCTATAACGCTAAATCATGTCATTACTCAGTTCCTGAATTAATAGACGAGACTTAACTTCAGCAACTATGTCGTGTTTACTTTTCAGAAGTTAAAAGTATAATTTCGAGGTCAAAACAAAACCTCAGCATTGATAGCTAGACAACTAAGACCCAAGGGTGAGAAATATCATCTAGATATCTTTATTCATCCTATACTCAACGCTTAACACTCAATGAAGTTCCTTTTAGTTGTTCAGGCCTATAACAGCTTCTATCTATGAAACTAAATGGCATTATCAACAATTTGATCTTTTTCCTCACTGTAGAGGAAATCACTCTCTTTTCGTATCAGTGAAAATCTTATCAATTTTGGCTCACCTGTCTAACTTATTATTACAAGATCTAATATAAATCAACTCAAAGCAGAAGAAAAATTATAATAATAACCATACGTGACCAAGATAGTGGATGTGAAAATCGTATGTAACATTAGAATTATTCACCTGCCGAAACTTGTTTTTCTTTTTCCTGTTATTTTTTTCCTAAGTTACTTCCACTTAACCTTAAAAATCTGTTCTCTGCTTTTTACCTTTACTAATCGATAATACTTCATTGAAGAAAAATAAAAAGTCAACATAAAGAAAATTCCTGTTTCTTATATATTCATTCACCTGAGAATTTACTTTATACTGTCATATTTTTATTCCGATTGTTTATCTTATTTTCTTTTTTGCTTGAAATATTCAGTTAGAAAAAAGTTCACGTTTCACTGATCTAGTTGCTGAACTCGATCGTAAATGGTCTGAAACTGTTAGTCGTGAATGTGCACGTGTACGTAGTGAAACATGCATAAAACTGGAGTCGGACTACAAGGTGAAATTAGAAGAGGTGAGAAAAAGATATGAAGAGTCACTTTCTGATAACAATAATCAATGGGAAATAAAGTTTCAGAAAAAACAGCTTGAGTTGGACGAAGTGATTCAGAATAAAAATGACAATAATCAGGAAATATCAAGGTTTGTTTTTACCTGAAATTGAAAGTTTGATTTACCCATAACCATATTTTCCCCCATAAATATCGAAGTCAAAAGCCTCAGTGATTATTTTTTCTTTTTTTATTCCTTCAGGTTCCCAGTGGAACATAGGGCTTCAAGCTAGAGTCTTGAAGTTTCTGTAGCAGTGTTTGTTTAACAGGATCGAGTTGCTAGCCTCATGTCCAACCTTTCCTCTTCACCAGCTTTATTTCTAGCTTAGTGAGGTAAAGGAGTGCATCGGCCGGGGATCGAACCCCGAACCATATGCATGGTCGGCGAGCGTCCTAACTGCTATGCCACTGACGTACCTCAGTGATTATGACTGTAAGTAAACAGTTGTTAAAATGTTTGCCTAAAGTGATCCTAAAGATTTCATTTAATGATATCCCAAACAGTGAGGTTTAGCTCAGGTAAATAGTCTTTAAAAGCAAATAACTACTAGATTAACTAAGGATTCTTTTATCCTGTTTCATAACTTCTTCACTGAATAAAATGTTGAAAATGGTTCTTACGTTTACCAAAACCCTGTCCAGTTTGTTGTAGAAGTTACTTCTAGCATGAGAAAATAACAAACTATAGAGAATTAAGCATTACATTAACTGAGAACATTGCTAAGCGAAAAAGTGTAAGCACATGATTTACTGTTAGTGAGAGAACACAAGTTTGAGGCAGCACATACAAGTAGTCAACACTGACCACATTCTCGCCTAATGTCAACATAACAAGGTATCACAAAGGATCTCCCCTTCATTCTCCCTTCCCTTACAATTTCATGTGAATTCTAATATCAGTATTGCCTTATTTTTGTTTGCTCCTTGACGTCTGTAAATGAGTGTTTGAATAACTCATGTGTCACTTTGAAAGACAAGCAGTTATATTCGCTTCCATTCTCTTAATCTCTATTCTTTCATCGATGACTGGCATCACAACGAAATTAATTCTGGTGATTACAAGTTATTCTTTGCAACCGAATTCATCAAACTGCCTTACTATTTCATTGACTATTGAGGACTAGAACTGAGGAATACTCGGTTATTGAATCAGAACATTTCATCTGGTGAACTCCACAGACGAAGATGAGAAATCCATGCATAATTGTTTTCCTTTCAACCAATGACAATTCGTGATAGAATCTACTTTGTGCGTCGGTGGCACAGTGGTTAGGACTCTCGCCGACCATGCACATGGTCCGGGGTTCGATCCCCTGCCGGCGCACACCCGATATCTATGGTATGCCTGAATTTGGGCAACCGATATCCATGCTGAAAATTCCATACTTGTACTGAAAATACGGTGTGGAATCAAGCTGTAAATCGAAAAAAAACGATCCCGTTGCCTCCTACTGCAAAATGAATGGGACAAGTAGTATGATATCGTTTCTGAATGGTAAATGGAGTCACATTATTGATGGAGATAATGGTTGACCTGGAATGCAACACCGTTCAGTAATGATAGCGACAACAGCAACAACCAGTGAGCATTTTGAGAACTATTACGTGATGATGGATTCTCGATTTATCATATTCTTCAGAGTAATTTGCACGACTAGTAACTGTTGATTGTTTGACTATGAGATGTGTTACAAACACTAACAGCATTCACTTTGAACTTAAGTGCTTGTTGTTGTTTCTCCGTAGGTTAAACTTTGTCGGCCTAAGGACCCAACAGATCCAACTAAGAAAAATAATATAATTTACCATATACCATGTAATGGCTGTGAATGAGGTCAAACTGGTAGATCGGGGTCAGATAGATTATGGGAACATTAAAATTTAGCGGTACCTATAATAATTGACCCTGCTGATTTAAATAACCTAGAAAATAGCTCAGCTACTGCACTTCATTCACTTGCATGGAGTCACCCAGTGATAGGGTGGGACAGGCTGAGAGTATTACAAAGTAATATAGTTATGTGGAGAGAGAGAGGTTAATCACTGAAGCTCTGTTTATCGATTCAACACCGCACACGTCTGATTGGAATGACGCAGAGTCTATATAGGAGATACGGAAAGTGGCATCAAACAACGAACGGAAGTTGGATAGACAGAAAGAGAATATAAATATATATACGTATATATGTATAAGACAAATTGTGAAACCATGTGACTAAAACTGATATGATTATGAGTGGCAATAATTTATGCTCGAAACGTCATCTAGTTGTTAATACTGCACACTGTGTGATATTAAAATAAACTTATCTCATATGGAATTACATTCTACCACAGTGCCCAAGTTCTACACTATCATTAAATAAATCATGTTTCTAGAAAGCTTTATAGCAAATAATCATATCAGTGTATATATGTGCGACTTATCGTTAGAGATTTCTCAACTGTTGTCACAGGCATTTAATGCCTCAAATTATGCTGATTTATTCAGCGAAATCAATAAATTATAGTTTAGCAAGAGGTTAGGAAGAATTCTTTAGAGCCACGTAGCTTTTCAATATAATTGCTTATTTTTCTGAAAATAAAATATTGACGTAAATTTTTTTTGTATTTAATATAAAGTGATAAACATCAGCCAGAAATTCTATATCATTTCACGCTGTTCACCATTTTAGATTTCTGTGGTGGACAGATAAAGCAGGAGTAATTCTCAACTTCCTTTTGTCATCAAAGTTTCCAGTCATAAAATTTAAATAAAAACTAAAATATAAGAAACTTCCGGGACCATGTGGTTATCCAATGAGAAGTATGATAAGATAACTTATTGATCTGATTGTGTGGTTGGGAAATTCTTGCATAACAAGTAGAGCTTTACTATCAATCAAACTGTCTAAAGCAACCTGTGCCTTTAAAGTTCGTCTAGTGACGTAAACGTAGTAGGCATCAAATTAAACTGCCTTAAATATTACATGTTTTTTATTAAATCAATTTAACTGTTTAACTTTATCAGTGTTTTGTTATATTTTGTATCTTTCTAAACAATTCATATGGGAAAAATAAACACTAGTGCTAATATCAACGATTCACAGAAAGGATTGATAGCGAAAAGTGATGAATGCATACAAACGGATGACATGGTAAGCTTTTCAACAATGTGTTTAGCTATACTTTGAGTAATTACTTTATAAGAGTTGTAACAGGATTGGAAAAAAGTGATAAAGGAGTGTTGTAGTATATTTATGAACCCTGTTATAAACCCATTGTCCTGGTATAGTTCTGAAACATGTCTCTCTCTCTTTTCATAATATTGTGGAAGCGAGATATTCAAATTTATTTGAAATATAAGCATTATTACTTTTGCAATAAAGGTTTACATATTAAATTGATCAAGAATAAATACTCTTGAAAATGACTTCACTTCCTCAGTTGTTTATTCGCCATATATCCATATGTCCCAGATAAACCTGAAAATACTAATTTGCATAATCTACTAATAAATCTAATAAAAAGTGCATTCACTTTTCGGTTATTCTTAGAACTACCTAAAGATAAGTTTTCAGGTTATCATGAGAATTCGTTTAGATAATTTGTGTTTAACATCTTATTTCTGAGCTTGAAAAAAATAAAGACATTAGCTAAGTGGAAGAAGTATGTTTATTTTAGCGCACAGCTTCTGATTATTTCTGTTAGCTTACTTTATATATAACAGCTAAAATAGTGTGTGAGGTGACTGCTGACTGGAACACGATCTAGTAACGCCTTATTGGGTATGCGTGAGTTTCATTACTACTGCAAAAGCATGTAAATTTATAAATGCAGTTGAAGGTGACATCAGCTGGGCACTTATTCTGTTTGGATTGACTTATTGAGCATGTGCTGCTGTATAATAACTTGAACTTACCTTCAGGGAAGCACCTTTCTAGTGCTCCTTTCATTATTTTTGTCAGCGCTTTGTGAATCTGCTTTTCTCTACTGATATCACCTCCATTTGCGTTTATAAATTTACGTACACCTGAGGTAGTAAACACACTGAAGGGGCAGAAAGAAGGACTTCTATCCAATTTTCTGAGCATATCCCAAGAAACTTATGCCTGAAGGGATTTTGACTTTGTTTTGAGATATTTAGAATGCCATGGAATAAATATTTATAAGGAAATAATTCTCTCAACAAACATTCTATTTTGTTTGTTCCTTGCTCAAGTAAACAAAATGTTTGATTGTTCCACACTTATGATTGCTATTGTTCGTGCTTTGTTTTTATTTATTTGATTACAATAATTAAAGACTTTGTTGTTTATTCATTTGCAAGAGAAATGACTGTGAGAAGGAGGCTAATCAATCCAATAATATAGAGATGATTGATTCATTTACACAAAGTGATTTGAGATGGGGCGATGAAAACAAAGATGCTGATACTAATTTAATCATGACTAAACGCAATGAGAATAAGGATCACGTAAGTTAACTTATAAATAAATTATTCATAAATACTTTACTTGCGTATTTCATGACTATAGAATTATTATACTCGGAATAATTTGGAACATTCCTCCTGAATAGGATCAACATTTAATGAAGATCAGGAGTGATCGAATGCAAATGGATTTTTATAAGGTGTGTTGATTTACAAACAAAAGAAGCTGTAACACCGAAGCAAAATTTTCTTTTCAATGAGATATTTTCAAGGACTGTGCACATGCATTTATGCTTAACAAAACATTCATAAAACCAATCAACTTCTGGCACCTGTGTTCTAGAAAATGTATTACGTAATGTGAGATGAGATGTGAATGAGTAGAGATTAAAACTAAAAGTTGGAATTACTTATTAAGTGTGGAAAATGACTAATCAGTCTAAATGTATAGAAAGGATAAAAGCCATTTAAATCATGGTTAAGTGTTTTATAAAATCTGTATCAGAAATGCAATGTTATTGATTGACAATATTAGCGATAGTAATAATTATGAATTAATAATAATAATAAACTAAAACATGAAACAAAACTGTAGGAAGAAAGTTACTCTGTCCATGATAAGCCAAGTGGGTGTATGTAATATGTCGATTTACATTCCTGACAATAATATACGTCCACGATTTGAAAGTCCTAAAGGAATGGTGATGCCCCCTATTTGATCTATATCAAATCCCTTTATGGGAGAAATAAGTAAACTGTCATTAGTTTAGAATGTATCGAAAGATGGTGAGATTAATTACCAGAAGACGTCACCTGCGTATGTTATACAAAAGACATTAAATTGTGCTGATAACAAACACGTGAAAATATTCTGGCAGTGTTTTCTTCTCAATGGGATCACTGGCTTGGAGGTGCTTGAAAGCGCATTTTATGCAACTTTTATGTTTCTTTCTGCAATCAAAAAGATCGAGTGGCCATGCCATTTGAAACTGTGTGAATAATAAGAAGTATACTAATAAAGTAACCACTGCTACGGAAACTTCAGAACTCAAGCCTGAAACACCATGTTCCACTCGGAACGGAAAGTAATAAAATTAAAAAAATAATTAAATAATGAAAATCTAATCACAGTCATCCTCATATCCAAAATTAAACATTTCGAGAAGGATTTCATTTCATTATTCTTTTTTAGGTATTCAACTCTTCAGTTAAGTGCCAAGGGGCTTTATATTTAGTCTAGTCTAGCATTTCTTTTGTTACTTGAGGATCACCACCTACCATTCATTTATTTACAAAACGAAGTACTTAGTAATGATTAAGTATGGTCTCGGTCCGACTGTGTATGCCTTCAGGATAATTAGTTTGTTGGTGACCTGTTACCCATTGGACTAGATATCAAAAGAAATAAGACCGGCGAAAAACGGGAGAAACTAGAAGGAAGAAGATGTTCAGTGTCAACTAATCTCCATTGTAATTATGTAAATGATGTACATTTTTTACATCGTCTGTGGTTGCACTAATTCTACCAAATTAAATGTCAAACGTGATACTATTAAACTTTTGCGAAATCCGGCCATTTTTATTCATATATTTTAATCCATTATCACCATTCTTGCAGACCAATTTGATATATTTCAAAGCTTTATTAATGCGAATAAATACGGTTGATTTCTGAACTGTGAACTGTTATTGAGCAGTGATACAGAAGACTACAAAACATTAAGAAGTAGTTCAGTAATGTTTTAATAAATTGACTCCTGAATGATATACGAACTGTGCTGAAATCATTTGAGTGGTTGTTCAGTATTCCGTAGATAAGAAACATAATTAATCGTGGCAGGTTGATAATATCATTTTAAGTGTTGATTTGGAGGGATTTGACTGGTTGCACAAATTTCCTCATTAGCTGACATCGGTTAGAGAATGGCTTGGAAACTTGTGAGTATTGTACAGCTGTTTCGTCATAGTTTTGGGACTCTTGAGCAGTAGGCAACCACAGAAGTTCGAACTCAGGACCTTCCGGTTACAAGGCGAGTTCATAGACCGTTAATCTATTGGGATCCAATCCAATAGCCCATGAATTCTGACTTCTGTTAGTTTGCGATGTAGCGCGACCACTAGCTAATGCCATCGACGAGTATTTGTCCTCACATCCGACCAGCTGTACTCCACTGGTCATGACTTCCTAAAAGAATCTAGATAACTACCTACCTGAATAGGGCCAGTCGCTAGTGAGCATCAGATTAATAATTAAGTGTTGGTTTGCCGGAATTTGACTGGTTACGGGATTTCCATCATTAGCTGACATCGGTTAAAGAACCATTGGGATACCTGGGAGTACTGGATAGCTATTTCGTCCTAGTTTTGGGCCTCTCCAGTGGTACGCGTACTGCTTATTATGATAAAGGCTAAAGACATTATGTCATCATTTTAATATATAAGCTTTGTGATGTTACAAATATTTTTGCAAACAATAATATCACCCAGGTCAGTGCATCAATCATTTATTACTTGGTATATTCGCCTAAAATATTAATTCCTGGACTGTTTCAAACTGTAATACACTCTTGAGTGAAGTTTTAGTATAATGAAGTGTCGCTGTCTTCTCTGTATCCTAAGTATATGATAGCTTTTTTCTAAACATATCTTCACAAACATGTCGACCATTGCCACATTGCCACCAGACCTTTAGCTACTTGTATACCTATTTCTTTTATCGCCAAACGAATTAGGAATCTAATTACGCTGAATACTAGTCGCCACGAGAATGTCAAGGATAAGATCATGCCTGAAGTTGATAACACAAGTAGAATATTACAACTGACAGAAATTAAGAGAATGTTTTACTATATAAAACGTCGCTCACGAAGTAACTTATCCAGCATCTTCGATTAAGGTAAAAAAGAAATTCTAAGCTGAAGCTATTGACTTTTCAGGTGGTGGAACGATATCTACGTGCACATAAAATATGAAAAAATAAAATTGTTTTGTCATATCATTTCTAGTAAAGTTGGTACGAAATGAGGTTTGAAAAGAATGACTTCTGAAGTTTCAGAAAAGAAATTTCGTGGCATGAACTGGCATAGTGGATTGTCGTTTGTGATGTAAATGGATTACAGAGAATTTAAACATTAACAATTTTCTAGTTTTAATTCTGAAAGGACCCTTGAAACTGAAAACTACTGGACAGCTGTTGCTTCTGATTTCTAGACTATTTCAGAAAAGCACGGCAATATATCAGTCAAGTGCAGAATACCAGATTACGTGATGAGTAGATTATCATACAATCAGTGACTTCTTAAATAGCGATAAATCTATGAAAATGCTGATATTATACGACAAAATAGTTGTCCAGTTATTTCTGCTCAAGTTGATTACACCATCTAATGATACTTTCAGGACAAAAAAACGTTGAAACGAAACTGACCAAATTTAGTACTAAAATGTTTCTCAAATTAATTACTTAGCTTTGAGTAAACACTAAGTATTCTAAATTAGTTGTCCTTCTTTACATAGGATACTCAGTATCAAAATGTTATCAGACAAAAACAACTTCAGTTGGATGAAATCCAGGCAAATTACAATAAGTTATTCGAAATTTACACGCAATCTCAATTGAATTTCGAGCAGATTCAAGATGATCTTAAAACACGCTTACATAGAGCACTTATGGAAAATGAAGAAAAAACAACGTATGTTTTGATATAGTTGTTTTGCTCACAAAATTCAAATTTTTTCCCCTACATGTGCATTATTAACATATAAGTGTTGATTTCCACCGGAGTTTGATTTATTTATTTATACTTAAAGCTACATGTTGTTGATTTTGCTATTTTTGATGTATGAACTCTCTAAACCAGTGCCTTGATGTTAATTCACTTGGTGTTTTGCTTTTATTTGCAAGGCAGTGTCTGTTCTTCAGGTCATGGATGCCACTATTATCCAGTTTGAGTTTCATTAATTGAGTATATCTTTATCTCAGGGGGTGATATTGATTACAGTGAAACTCAGTGGAGTCACTTTTCTCAAACATTAAGCAATGGGAACACATCCACCAACATGGACATTAATTTAGGTCACTAAAATGAAAATTAAGAAGCTGTTAGCAGACCAACCAATATCGGTGACATAGCGGGGGAGTGTAGAGTTGCATCAGCTCATTACTTGATGATTTTGTCTCCTCAACATGTGAGTGGTGGGTTAAAGTAACTCACCCACAGAAGCACCCAAATTTTCAGCTGACAGCCTCCAACTAAGACAAGATGCATGAACTTATTGCTACTGCTAGTCACTGACAAACAGGTAAAACAAGTGTGAAATCCAGTCTAAACTGTAGCAATGTTACTGCCTGTTCTTTCTAATAGTGGAAATGATAATATTCATTTGTTTCTGTTGGATGTTTATTTTCTAGCTAGTCATTTTAAACAGATGAGTCATTTTCAACAGTATGACATTTTCAGCGTGGATATCGGTAGCCCAAATTTTGCAGGCCGACCATAGATATCGGGTGTGCGTCGGCAGGGGTTCGAACCCCGGACCATGTGCATGGTCGGCGAGAGTCCTAACCACTGTGCCACCGACGCACAAATGAATCATAAGATGATGGCTCACGAAACCTCCAATTTTCTAGTGCTAACATAAGCTTGCTAATCAAGATTTCAGTGTGAGGTGGAAGTGTTATATGCAGCCTAACAAACGATTCTCAACATCTCAAATCGAAATTTCGATCAACGCTTCATTTGCAATGATTTTTCTCAGTCTTTATTACATTGCTTTGTAGACCATAACACGTGAAGACAGATAGCAAATAAGGAAAGGCTAATTAATTTCAATTTCACTTAATTGTACCGTGGCTAATTTCTGAATGGCTTTTTGTGTCTTGGAATAGTAGACATTTTGTAAACAGATTAAACAGATATTCACAAGTCTCAGAGGCTGATTTTGTGGCTTAGTACGTAACTATCAGTAATTTGTGTTTTGTATGTAGTGACGGGATGACTTTTCAGTCAAACTGCATCCTAAATCTTATCAGAAATGAAGATTGTGGGCAAAATCTACAATTAAGCTAATAAAATGGAAGGCTGGCTCTTACTATCTATTCTATGCTAAACATGTTCCAATAGTATCACAGTTTCTATTCCAGTTTACAAATTTAACCTACTATTTGTGTTAATTAAAGACATCGTTACCAAGTTCACTTAGCCTCCTACATAATATTTATATTCACTGCAGGTGTGTTTTTCAATGTGTATTTTGAGATATAAAAAATTGCCATACGATGTGAATTAAGAACACATAAGACGATAGTGAATAGTTTTATGGAGAATTTGCGTTGAGTCTCTTCTATTGCGTGTCTTGAGTGTAGACTCGATGAAACCTTAATCAAGTATAAGAGGTGGCTTCGTTTTTAGTTATTTACATTCTCAGCTTTTTCATCTCATAAGACATAACATTCAGTTCGAACCTCTAGAAACCTTTGCATATAAAAGAGATTTTGACAAACATTAAAGTTTCTCTTTAGGTGATTTCTAAACTGATCACATGTAGATCTCAAGTGTATTATTGGTTCTCAGAGTACTTATGTACTTGCTACCACCAAACTAAACTAGAGTTACCTAAGAGTTTGTTGTCGAGGAAGAATACAATGGTTGTTAAAAATAAGTTCTGGTCTTTATGTAAGTGGTTTTACCAACTTACAAATTTGACTTCTTAAAGCAATATGTTCATATATATATTCATGTAAATGAGTGATAAGTGACCAGTGACAATAATAATTATAATTTGCTTTTATTCCAAAACAGTACTTGTGACACAGGATGGAAGTCTCAGCATTTTATTACGGTATTGCATCCAGTTAGTACATTAACAATAAGTAAAATTCTACATGGATTAAGGAAATCTCAGTTCATTATGACAACAACATATTGGCATGTCGGTAGCAAATCCAAAATTGAACAGAGTGTTTGAAGGTGTTAGAAAAGTAGGTGCTATCATATTTACTGGCGTAAGCGGTAACAAAAAGGTCGAGATATACAGAGTGTGAAAGATCGAAGGAGAATGTTTTAAATAGAGTTTGCAAGGAAGAAAGAAACAAAGCACCACATAACGGAAAGAAAGAAAAAAGAGAGAGAGAAAAGGAAAAGAAAGAAAGAAAATATTGTACCAATAAATGTTATGAGTTGGAAAGACGAGATCCAGTTGTACTACTGACTATTTAATAAGTCATAGGTATCACGCCTAATGCTTTCTTTATCACACAGAACACGAGCTAAGTAGGATATGGTTTAGTTTTTGTACTTGCTAGTGCGAGCATATAGTTTTCTATATAGGCTTCTGGTTCTCCTGATGAGATACAAGGGGAGAGTTGTGAATGAAGAGGGTGGTATGAGTTAGGTAAAATGGATTTAGCCCATTTTTCACATGAGTCCATGTGCCTGTCAACCAGAATATTAGCAAGCTGATTAAGTGGCATGTTGCTTACCCTGCTGACAACCTTTAACATCCTGCATGATAAGGTACAGTCTTTCTTCAGTAGTCCTGGAAAAACTAAGGGGGAACAATAGAGAATAATAGGCAGGATGCAAGAGTTAACGAATTTTAGGAGAAGGGGTTGAGTTATTCGAGAATGTGTAGCATCTTTTTTGTGCTTTCATAGACAGGTGTGAGAAGACTTTAATGTGCGTTTCGCTGTATATTTTTGGTAAAACGCGAACAATACAGTTATCAGAGTTAAGGATCGGTGCATGTTTACGTGTTTCATATATTCCTTCGTCGTTTGTGAAAACTAAATTGAGTTTTTTGTCAAGTCGAGTGGGAAATTTGACTATGTTTGTATGACCAAGTGCTTCAAGGAAAGAGCAATCTGAGGAGTTGAAGTCCCCAGTAGTAGCAGATAGAGAGTTGTCGAAGTTGGAAGCGGCAAACATGGTGAATTCGTCAGCAGAATTTGATAGATCAGATAGTGAGCAACTAGGAGAAATGTACATGTTTTGTAACCAAGATATGTTTATATTTGGGGAGATGTTTAGGACGACATTTGACAGTAATACAGTCTATGAAGTCATGTGAGAATGAGAAACAAACATTATTTGAAATAGACCATTTGGAGTGAATAAAAGTTGCAGCGCCACCACCATTTTTCTTATTGCAACACTGATGATCTTGTCTAAATAATATGAAATCCATTAGTGAGATAAGGTTGTCATCATACAGTTCATGTAACCACGTTTCTTGTAATGTGATTATGGCAGTATTGTGATAAGTGTCAGTGGACATCAGAGATTGTAGGTTCATTATCTTGTTTGGTAGAGGGAGGCAGTTTGTGTTCATTATGACAGGGACCGTAGTTAATTGTATTGGTATACGTTTGAGAGCTCTCTGCCAACCACTAAGATGCTTCCTCCTTGATTTCGCGGGAATATGAAAGTCATTTGGTCTTAAATGATTACAAAGTTACGAGAGTAAATGATCCTGTTAGAATTCATAAAGGTGATAAATAAATGCGAGTAAAGGGTAGATTGGATGCAATATGTAGATATTATAATAGCCGGCCCACAAATTCTAACAGGCCGCCAGGTCAGGTTCGATAGAAACACTGAATTAACGAGTCGAGAGATAATCATTGTTGTTCTAGGTTGACTTCTAAGCATCTTGGTTATAGATATAAACTAAGGAGGATTTCTAGGTCAGGTTTTCATTTATCCCTGTATTCGTCCATGTACAGTTAGTACATACAAGTATTATGTCCCACTTATCCTATCGTAATTTTCATCTTAGTCTGAAAGACCAAAACGTGAGTTTCATGTTAGCTGAAATAAGGTGTGGGATGCGTTAACATCTGTGGCATTTGAAATCTGTAGCTGCTGCATTCACGCAATCAGGTAGATTATTTAAAATCATTGGAATCTCTCACTTGGAACGGTTATTTTAGTTAATTTAATGTTCTAGACTAAAATTATGAGTAAATTACATAGAACGTTAAACTGCTTAAAATATTGCTTATGAAATACTAATTTTTCAGTTTTTCATGTATCTTATTGCTTTTATTCTAATTTCCTTTGAACACCTTCATTTATTTTATTTTACGGTTTAAAATTGATATCACCTTTACCATTACTGATAAATGGTAAAATCTTGCATTTCTGGGACTCACTGTATTTCACATGTAATATGTAGATAGGTGATTATGCAGACATGCATTATTGTCTGTACTAGACTATGGGCCACACAGTCTACATTGTAGCTTATAGTACTTACTTTCTCATTACTCTAATCTCCACAGATGAAGATATATCAAATATATAACGCGTTGAATAAACGAACCAATACGTGACATCTTTAATCGCCACATATCGCATAAAGAATAGGAAACTAGAAACATCTCTCTCTCTCTTTGATCACAAATCTCATATTTTGTATAATTTTCGTCATCTAACGAAAATTATGAAAGTGAATGTGTGTATAAATATGTAATTCTGAGCAATTATAAAAGGCAACATTCCAAGAGTGCCCAAAAAATATGCAGGAGAAAGTGGAGATGGATTGGACACTCGCTGAGGAGGCCGCTGGGTGACATCGCACGTCAGGCCAGTGCTCGAGTGGAACCCGAAAGGGAAGCGGCGAGTGGGACGTCCAAGGGTGACATGGAGGAGATCGTGTGAAGAAGAGTTAAAACAGTATGGATTAACATGGATGCAGGTGAAAAGTACAGGAGAAGACAGAAGCAAGTGGAGACGTGTAGTTGAAGCCCTATGTTCCACTAGGAACCCAAGGGAACAATAATAATAAAAACGTTCCAAGAGTAACGTAGAACAGAAACAAAAAATGTATTCGCATACCATAGTTAAGGATTATTAGTTCCATATAAACTGCCTAATTAATTCCAGCTACATTTTCAGTCATCCAGTCTGTATGGAATGGAAATGAATATCCTAATCAACAGCTAATAGTACTTTGTGTAGTAGAAATCAATTCTTTTGTTTTCATTTTCTAAGTTGGTGAACTTTTTGTTTTTATTATTGAGTTAAGAAATAACAAAATAAATAACCAGCTTATCTTTACCATTAAAACCGAATCTTATTAGAAAATATATTTATTTAGTTAAAATCTCTCTCTAGTTGTGTGGGAAAGAGGAAACGAACAAAACAAAATATTTACGGATATGTTTGTTGGATTACTTGGTATTTGTTTCTTAAATCCTACCCTATATTTTGGAGGTTATGTAACCTGATGTAATTTGTTTTCATATAAACAAACTTCACAAAGTCTCGAATGATCTATTTCTAATGCTGATCTGTCATGTGCACACACTGGTGATTTTGTGTGAATTTATACTTTATAAATTTCAATATGCTATCATGATGATTAGCAGTCTGGTTTGTGACAGGATTAATAAAAAGAAATTAATAAAAAGGCCTGTTCACTATTATCTCCTACTCAGTCGCTTTAATGATGGCTTGTTTTGTTTTGTTACGACATGAATGTCCAACTTTAGATTACCACTTATCTATTTTTGTCATTCGGATCACTCTTAATTACTATCCTCCCACGCTGGCAACTTGCTTTCTGAGATATAGTGTATTTTTTTTCTTAATTTGTCTATCCTTACGTCAAAAGGCATTAAATATATTATTAGTGAAAATAATGCGTTGGCTGAGATGAGACTTAGTATAATATCATAAAGCAACTTATAAAGAAACAGTTAACAAGAATACAGCAATTTCATCAAAATATCATAGATGATTATCCGTCCCGTTAATAAAGGAATCAGAATTAGACAGCCCTAAAGCAGACGTGAAACGTCAAGTGAATTTATTCACATTCAAACTTATCCTAATTACAGGATTATCTTTTCATTGATCTTTCTATGTAATTAAGTTTATTTAGATTTCAAGAGTTTGTTTGCAGGGATCGCCAACCGATATCAGCTCTCCAGTACTCCCTGGTTTTAAATGTTTCTCTGACTGATACCAATCCGTGATCAAACCTGAGTTTAATTCCATTATGGATAAAAATTTTATTTTGATAAGATCACACAGTGTTTTATCCAGTGATATTTACTGATGACGTTTCGAGCTCAATTTACTGCTCATAATCATATTAAGGTAGTGACATAACTTTCTTGCTTCGTTTATAGACAAGAGTAAAAACTGATAAGACATTTGAATAAAATCAATATAAGACTTGCGTGAATCAGAATGGAAAATAAAGTACATTCGGACATAATATTAGTGTTATCAATAAAATACAATAGGATGGGAAATAAGACGAGTGTTGTTAGTCAATAAGGTTGGAAATAAGATGTTTTTATAGTAAAATAAACAACTTGTTAGAATGTTATAATGTGAATTGAATACATTTTGACATTATTTATTATCCTCTGATTTGACTGGTAATAATATCTTCCATATCTCTGGTACTGGCGATGATGAGTCACTTCTATTGCATGTGTTGGGTGTAGACTTGATGAACCAGGATTCAGTAATCAACCTCTCTCTTCACCTACCTATATTACTTCTTAGAATTTTAACCCTCTCTCACCCTATTGTGTGGTCGTGTGTTAATGCATGCAGTGAGATCGCTGAGCTTTTTTCTAAATTACTCACCTTCACGGGGTTAGTCATTCTAATCTTCACTAAATTCTTATGTTCTGACAATCTGACTACTCCCGATCTACTAGTGTGACCTATGTAGTTGACCTCACAGTCACTGCAAAGTATTTTGTAAATTATATTATTTCATCTAACTGGGTCAGCAAGGTCCTTTAACCTACATAGCTTGTCCCTGAGTGAGTTTGTAGGTTTGAATGCCACTCTAATTCCTGCTATATTAAGAATCCTACGTAGGGTCTCAGATATCTCCTCTTTATATGGTATAACATTAGATGACTTATATTCTTTCTTATTTGTGTTATCATTATTAGTTTCACCATTATTTTAATTTTGCTTTTGACCTTTTTTGATCTTCCTAATGAATTTTATAGGATATTTATTTGATACCAACGCTTCTTCTATGTGTTTTATTTCATCATTTAGGTCTTTTGTTGTACTACTTAGTGCCTGCCTTAGCAGTTAACGACTGAGATGAATTAAAGTCTAAATATCTATTAGAATGAGTTGGCTTTTTATCTATAATGGAGTTATACTGTACTACAGTGCCCAAGTTTTATCCTTATATCAAACTTGAGTTTATTTAGTGTTAGACGTGCTGTTTGGTATCTTCACTAAAACTTAATTTTCGATTTTCTTATGTACAGTGGTGCTGAAAGGGAATATGTTTAGAAACGATAATATTCCACTGCCAGTACAGAATTATTTAAACCACATAATACAGTATTTAATTTTGTTAAATGTTTGATGGCACCATGTAAACTGAAAGGTGATCAGAATTTAGGTAAATTTATCTCCTCAAAACAAAATAATAATCTGAACGTTGTACCGCATTACAATGAATTCCTCTTTTTATTCCTACATAAATATCTAAGGTTCTCAAAAAGTAAAGAAGTAGTAGTCCATTTTTGTTCCAGTGCTTTCACAGGAGATTTCGATCATTAAATCATGTCTTTATCTCATATTTGCTTTTGTCTCAGATATCTGACCGATTATTTTCTTGGTGTAGGCTTTACTATGTTAGAGATATTTTAACCAGCATGATGTAACTATAGCCAGTTTTGTTGCTGGAATGGCTCTTAAAGTCACTTATTTCATGATCCTGTAGATAAATCCTCATCCCAGTAGCTGAAGTAGACAATGCATTTCAATCATAAATCTTTTCTATACTTAATTTATCCTAATTGTTGAAATTCTTCACAGTCTGAACGAGGAGATGAAAAAGAATCTGACTCACGAAATACAAACAACAAAGGAATATTATGAAAATATAACAGCAAAACAGAGAACAGAGTTTACACTAGCACAGAATATTTTAAAGTCCAAGATACATGAATTACACCAACGATTGTTAGTATGTTCATGTGAATCATTAAAAGTAAGTGTGAATTGATAATAGGATTGAATCCCTTTCGTGATTTGTAATTTATAGGTGCTATGACCAGTCAATTAGTATGAGTCTTGAAGTGAAATTCTAACTAGTTGTAAATTGTTTGATATTCTCTATAGCTGTGGTATTTGATGGTGGATATTTCACTAACCAGGGATAGTGATAGGTATTCATCACTATCTTCATTTAGAAGTGAGATGTGTTTATAGTTTGCGTAAGTATATTTTTTATTCCTTCAGATTCCCAGTGGAACATAGGGCCTCAAGCTAGTGGCTTGAAGTTTTTGTAGCAGTGTTTAATTTTTACAGGATGGGGTTGCTAGCCTCATACCCAACCTTTCCTCTTCACCAGCATTATTTCTGGCTTAGCGAGGTAAAGGAGTGCGTCGGCCGAACCTTTCCTCTTTACCAGATTTATTTCTGGCTTATTGAGGTAAAGGAGTGCGTCGGCCGGGAATCGAGTCCCGGACCATGTGCATGGTCAGCGAGCATCCTAACCGCTGTGCCACCAACGCACCACGTAAGTATTTAGGTTTCATTTTTCTTTGTATTGTCCAAATCGGAGTTGGAGTGACTTTCATTAAATGAAATAAAATTTTAAAACTCAGTTAACGCCTAAGCCAAACTGTATTATATCAGAAAAACAGTATTCAATCTCAAGAGAAATAATACTTTCTCTTACAAATCCACACATTGTAGCATTAACATTTGTAAATAATGAACTAAGGCGGTTATAACTGTTTACCTATGGCATTTGAGATAATATTTTTGGTGTAAGTGAGGTATTGTTGTGACAAAATGTTACGCATATGGTAATTATGCAGTAATACACAAAGTCTGAATCACCAGTCCCTTCAATCTACTTTATAAGAATTCATATTACACATTTTTTTGATTGACTCAATAGTTTTCACTAAGACGTTATTGATCAACATAGTACATTACAGTGCTGCTTCGTAGACAAATTCAATAGCTAACTAAAGGGACATTTTATAGTTTCTAAATCTACATGAGAGAGAAGTCATCCTAAATAGAAATTTCTGACTGCGGCGATGCAGGGTATAGAAATATAAATTATTTAACGGATTGTACTTTAAGGTTAAGCCCCTCTGACGTATTATGTCACTTAGAATGAAAGTTGCCTGTTTCTACCTAGGACAGTTAAAAGATTTCAAACTTGGAATGTTTCATTCACAGATATGAATATACAAACGAAAAAGATTAATCACGTTACTATCCACAAAGCAACATATTGTGTGAGACGAGCAGTTTGCTTTTGGTATTTTTCGAAAACACCTCATAATCTGATAGCGGGGATTCAGTGGGTATGAAATGATGACTATCAGTCAAGTAAACCAAGTTTCAAGACTTCATACATCTTTGATCAGTTTTAAGAGAAGAAACAATAGAAATATACTTGTCTTGGAAAATTTCTATGTCATATGTGCTAATTCATATTAGCATGTTGATTGGACCCTATTAGCTATTCTTGTGTCATCTAGTCTTTAGTGTTAGCGGAAACCTACTAGTCAACTTTGCAGCGTGGTCATCAAGTAGAGAGTCTAGTAATTACGGTGGACTTTGAATTCGTGTCAAATATTTGGAGGTATTCGCATACGGTTTTCCATAAACACGAAACCTAAATTCGAGCTTTCTGTCGACTGCCTTCAATCATCTCACATTTTAATATCTAAGCCAGCCTAATAATTGAATCTCCAGTTATAACGCTATACGGGGAGTGTGGATAGTTTTATTTTTCATACATAAATCGTTATATTTATTGCTAAGTACACAGCCTTTATCCATAATCTCTTATTTCCTGTTTGCACGCACAGAATGCATTAAATACAGGGCACCAGTAAATAAAAATAAGTTCAAGTTCAATTTTAAAAAATGATCAGAAAAATTCAGTTAAAAATGGATGGTTAGTAAGATGATAATGTCTCCTAATTGGATAGTAATTGGTTTAAGTTTAATGCTTATCCATCATGAACTTATTCAGCGTGGTCTTAGAAGAAAACCACCAGTTGCCCTTAATATCTTAAATTTCAAAGCGTATTGTGTGAACAATTTAATGCAGTGCAAATTATTCATCATGGTAATCTGTTATGGTGTTCAAATTTTAAATGCTCAAAAAGTCTAATGAAGCTATACTTTATCTAAGCTAAATATTTCCATTTTCCTCAGCGATAAATTATCACTAACTAGATTTAGGTCTAAATTGCTTTTGAAGTGGATTTATATTTATTTAGGTGACAAGTCATGTTTTCGATTTAACCTTTTTTTGCATGAATAATTTCTTTGAAGTGCAGCTTTTTTACTGACACTAAATGACCTTAGGCTCTTTCGTTTCAACTCATAAGATACAATGTACTATTTACTGATTCCCTTTTTCTTTCTTTTGTGTTGCCTTTTTCATACAGATGAAGTGTAGCAAGTTATCTTCGAAAAATCAATCACTGCCTGGTATTTCCGTAATTAGGAAGCAGAGTTCAACTTCTGATGATGTGTCATCATCACTAATGACAACAGAAGCATTTTGTCAGTCGAAAATTCTAACCAGTACATCTACAAACCATGACCATAGTTGTATAACACAACAACGTGAACAAAATCGTCTTTATATGGATAATAAGAGTCAAGGGGAATTTCGTCTACCGGCTTTATCGACATAAAGCGTTTATGGAGTTTGAAATAGGCAGTTATTAAAAAGTAGATATCAGTATTACTGTGTAAAAGCATCCACCATAGATTCACACTTGTGTACGCACAAATACATTGGATAAACACTTTTATCAGTGTGAATGTGTGGCTGCACGAAAATCACTTAGCTTGACACCGAATATTTTTATAAGCAGTTTGAAAATTAACTGTAATTTCTATTCTCTATTAGTAAATAAAGTGAACTAAAATTATAATCCTGTTAAACAGTATTTCCGCAATTTGTTTTGCACTAAATTGTTCATCATTAAAAGGTAGTGAAAAAGTTCGGTGAAACATTTTTAAAGCACAATCAATTTGTATGTGACTGTGAAAGCCATTTTTCTCACCAGTCAGGTGTAACTGTTGACAATAACATAAATAAGAGGGAATTTAAAGCCTCTTCAGTTTAACCATATAAAGAATGGACATCTGAAACCCTATATACGGTTCTTAATAAAGCAGGGATTACGGTGATATTCAAGCCTAAAAACTCACTCATGGACAATCCTTGCAGTTTACAGTACCTAATACCTCCCCTTACTCATCCAAAAATACCTTGCAGTCACAGTGAGGTCAATTACATGGGTTAGACCAGAAGGTCAGGGTCAGTTAGTTTATCGAAATACAACAATTTAGCTAAGTGGAGAATGACTGCCGTCGGGAAGATGATTAGCTTAGAGAAAAACTCAGCAATCGCAGTGCATGCATTAATACACAATCATACAATAGGGTGGGACACAGCTAAAGCTATAAAAAGTAATAGAGGGAGAGGTTGGTCAGTGAACCATTTGTTTATCGAATCTACACCTAACTCGTACAGCAGGAATGATGCAGTGACAATACCAGAGATATGGAATATATTACTACCAACAAAATCAAAAGATAAGAAATAATGGAATTATATCAACAAAGTCTTAAAGTTCTGTGAATGCCTCAGTATGATTAACAGCAATAAGGTGTGCTAGAAACCTAATCAGTAAATAATACTGTATAATACTTGAAAAACGCGCTCGTGAACACTATCCAGCCTGGCTAGTAAAAGGAGACCGAAAACGTGTATATAGTTCAGTGACAGAACATCTGGTCAATTCAGGACATTCAGCGCCTTTCGAAAAATCCTTCAAAGTAATATACAAGATTCAATCAAACCTATCAAAGGGAGTAAAACTAAGACATCTGGGCATAGCCGAGACACTAGCTATCCAAAAGCTCAAACCCACGCTTTGTATCCAAAAGAAATACGTCCAACCCCTCTCCCTACCATGGCCATCATAAACAGGTAAATTTTTTTAGTAATGACAATCTCATCGCCTTTCTTATCTAAACTTCCTGTTTATTCATGTTATTTTAAGTTTTCTTAATCCCTGTTTACACTACCATATTTTCATATCCGAACTTCCTGTTTATTTTGTCATTTTACTATTTCTACATATTTAATTCCTGATTGCATAAAAAATTATTCATCACATTAGTTTTTTTATCCAAACATCCTGTCTATTTTTGTTATTTCTACATTTCTAAACCCCAATTGCACAATGTCAATCTTGTGTGTCGGTGGCACAGCGGTTAGCATGCTCACCGACCATGCACATAGTCCGGGGTTCGATCACCGGCCGACACACTCCTTTACCTCACTTATCTAGTAATAAGACCGGTAAAGAGGGAAGGTTGGGCATGAGGCTAGCAACCCCATTCTGTAAAAATAAACACTGCTACAGAAACTTCAAGCCTGTAGCTTGAAGCTCTATGTTCCACTGGGAACGTGAAGGAAATAAATAATAATAATAAATCTTCTCAGTAATTATGACGATACTTTGTTTGAGTTTTATCCGTCCCCCTGTTTATTATGGCATTTTTAATTACTAATTGTAATTTTATTAATTTGACCCTTAACCGGAAACTATTCTGGAACTTTCCCATCCATTTGATATAAATACACGAATGTACAGCCCAGTTGATGACTTCGTCGAAAAGAAAATTTTCTTCGCTGCAACTGTCTTCTTAATACTGTATCACTGTACTGTGCGATTTCATGAAATAAATTCAGTGTTCATAATCTCAACTGTAATGTTGATTTAATGTTTATTAAGCAATTCAACGTTGAGTGTTGACAATATCAGCATAATTTAAAAATTCGTTACAGTAGTTCATTAGAGAAATAGAATTATGCATATTACGGATACATTATCAGTAATTAGAAAAGTGTTGATTCCAGGGTACCAAAATACGTAAGTTAATCAGATGATAAGGATGTAAGTTTATGTTTACTGAGAAAAATATGTTTTCGGAATCTATAATCACGATAATGAAGTTATGTTTCATCGCTCAAGAGTCATACTTGCTTCCAAATATTATTGTTGTTGTTGTTCAATCGCTGTAGGCTACCACTCTGTAGTTGCGTGGAGAACTAAATCTGATAATCGAGAAACCTATTCATCATAGAATTATAAACGATAATGTCAGCTAATGCCATTCGTGTTCAGTATTCCATTGATGAATAGCATAGGAAAAATTAAACAACTGAATTCTAGTGAATTTATATTATGTAATTTATTCGATTATAGATAACTGTACACAGTATTCGCGGAAAGATAACCCTAAAGTAACTTTTAAAATATATAAATCAGTAACTTAGAAAGGTTAAGAATGCTCTGTCTGAGTGTGTTGACCACAGCAAGCTAATACATTGTTAAAATAAATATTTTATAAGGTGCAGATTCTGTAGGTATTAAAGATATACCCAAGTACTTACAAGGGAAAAAATCTAGGCACACAGCGTCCTGATATTCACTTGAAGTTGCTAATCACTTTTCAGAATTACTTACTTATTTTTTAAAAACTTTTTGAATGTGTAGTCCTGAAGCATCAGCTTTGTTGGTTTATTAATTTCTGTCTTCAAGTCATACACATAAACTGGCAGCTTCCAAACGTCTAAGTAGTTTTGTACTTTTAATCATGCTTTTCTGGATACACCCACGAAGCATTTATGTGTACGTGCAGCAAACGGTAGGACAGACTTTAAATTATTTCAGTGTAGTCAGTTGAATTATACGATAACTGACCAGTGGTATCGCTAAATCATGATCCAAATTTGATTTATGAAAGTTCAGTATCATAGAAACACTAGACTGGAAAGTTTCTTTCATACTCAAATATCTTATAAAATAATCTAGTTTTTGTCCTAATGTTCCAGGTTGATTTTATAAGGCGTTGTGACAACAAAGAAGCACTTTCTGAGGAAGAGAATGTTTCATATCACTAAGATCCAACAATTGAATGAATACTGCTTTAATGAAGTAACACTTTTAAGAAGTAAGACTTTGCACTCCCAGCTCTCTATAGTGAGAGTGAGATACCTCCAGACTTTGATGGTTGGAGGCTATCGGCAGCAAGCCTTGGACCTAGGTTTCGTGCCAGTTGGCACTCACCAGCAAGGTGTATTTGCAACCTCGAAGGAACTCATATCCCTTCTGAGATTCGAACCCACGTCACCCAGTGCTGCAGTCAGAGACGTTACCACTGAGCTATTCAGGCTCGCGATTGACCTCCTGTATGACTGTGTAGGATATTTGTTTTGATTGGACACTGGTCAGTAACTAATGTAATGTGTGTGTGTCTAGCCCTATCTCTGGTGCAGACTGAATTCTATCAGTCAAGTTTGCAATGTGGCCACAATGCCAAGTGGCTCGCCATCACGGTGCACTGTGAATTGTTGGTATTAGATGGTTGGAGGCAATCGACAGGGTTCGAGTCTCAGAAGGGATATGAGTTCCTTCGAGGTTGCAAATACACCTTGCTGATGAGTGCCAACTAGCACGAAACCTAGATCCAAAGCTTCCTGCCGATTGCCTCCAACCATCTAATACCAACAATTCACAGTGCACCGTGATGGTGAGCCACCTAGCATTGTGGCCACATTGCAAACTTGACTGATAGAATTCAGTCTGCACCAGAGATAGGGCTAGACCCACACACATTACATTAGTTACTGACCAGTGTTCAATTAAAAATACCTTCAGACTGTTGATTTTCTTTATTCCCTTACATTCCCAGTGAAACATAGGGCTTCACGCTAGAGGTAGATTTGTGTGCTTATCATTGCAACCAATGGGGTCAAGAAGTCATATCTTTGCAGAGGAACATCTAAAGCAGAATAGGATATTCAGCTATAGACTCTTAAATCGTTACTTTATTTGATCACTTTGAATGTTATATATGTTCCCTGAGCTCAGCACTGTCACACTTTAAGGTAGGATTAATTCTGTTGCTGATGAAGTTCTGATAAGCTTAACTAGAGGATAAGGAATTTCCAGGATTAAAATATGTATATATATATTGAAAGTTGATAAAGATGACGGATTGATTTAATGTTTACCAGTATATCAGTATATGAGATCCGTCCTAATATACTTTCACGATGTATGATTTGAGTAGGGCGAGACGGCCACAATGGTTATCAATTATAGTAGAACTAGATTCCATGAGTTAGTGCAAACTTTTCAGGTAACATCTTTAAATTGAGCTAATCTACAAAGAGTAATTTGAAAATACTTCAGCTTCTCATTTTCAGATTCTGTTTTTGTTCAACTATTCGTTTTTTCTCCTTTGAAGCACTTTTCCAACTCAGAACCACATTATTTTTTTTCAAACATTGCGTGTTAAACGTAGAATATGAGTCGTATTTTTGACGTAAAACACAAATATCTGGAAATTTGTTCAGGCAGAAAAATATGTACGTATATGCAAGCACTTATTTCAGATAATTTGTCACGCAAATTTGCATAGACGAATATTTAAGGAATTACGTGAATAAGCTTATGCTTAGCGTGTGTATGTGTGTTTGTTTCTTATCAAATTACCAACGCGTACATTTTGAGAAACTAATTGCAATTGATTATTTCCTTTCAATGACTTTTTCTCTCATCTTGTGAAAAACAATTTTTTGGTGGGGAATTTTCAAAATGCTTTAAGGCATTTTAATCTATTTTACCAAAAATAGCTGATTCGTTCATTTTTGTAATATGTCATTAAAATCAATTGGAAGACAAGTTTGAAAAAACGAAATTTGGAAGTGTTTCAGCTTTTTCTTTTATTGTTTTTTTGTTTAATTTTTAGTTTACAGTTGAAAAATGAGACTAAAACTGGCCTGT